GAATCAGATGAGATGCTCTTTATGTACAGCAATGTTAACTATTTTACTTGCTTCAATGTGGTACATTTGCTATTGTTGCTGGCCTTTGTTTGTTTCCTTAATTTGGGTGTTTGCACAGTTGAAACAATGATGATAACATTAATACTAAGGCTTCTTGACATCTTTCCGTATTCACTAATTTAATCAAATAATGAATATCAACAATCAATCGCAATCCTTTTTCACCTCTTCAAGTTGCTCCAAATGAAACTTCCAACAATTTGTAGCAATTTGCTTCCAATGTTTAGTCTTGAAAATGTAGTAAAATATCATTTTTTATCAACAGCAATAAAATTGAAATTTAATTTTTACTTAATTTTTAAAGCTTCAGTTTTATTGGTCAAAATTGTAGTTTCAATCTTTGATTCAATTCAAATCTTGAGTTTCATGATTCAAACTGCAGATTTTTATTTACTCCTGTTAAACAAATTTTTGTAAACTCGATCTTTAGTTAACTCTGAAATTCAATAAAAATAGATTCATGAAATGATGCATCTTGTGTTACATTTGCCATTTTTCAATGAAAATTGACTGGCAATGGCAAGCATCGTGTTTTACTCCGTTAACAATTAATCTTACTGGGAATTGCTAATCAGAATCAAATGACAATAACAGAGAACTTTTTGATTTACTTTGGGATTGAACAGTTAATTAGACATTTATCAATTTACATACCAGTCATTATACTCATGTCTTCATGTTTATTAACTAGAGTAGGATGAAAATTGAGAACAATAAAAAATAGGATTCTCCATTGAAATGAAATTTCATTTTAACAGTAAAAAGGTATCAAAACAAAAGATGTACAACTTGAAATTATAACACTTTTTTACATTTTTAATTAATTTACTAAACTATTTCACCCAACCATGGAAGGCAAACAAAATTCAGAAACTCTTTCCTTCTTTCCTCATCTACTGCTGAATCCTTTCCCATTAAAGTTTCTTAACCATTGCAGTTGAAATTATGAATGATGAATGAAGAAAAACTTATTACAAAAACTAATTGTAAATCAAAAGAAATGGTTTCACTTGAAATGATTGTAATTATTTTTGATGGACAAGTTGAGACAAAAAAGACATTAAAACGATTTTCGTCGATATCGATTGAATCTTTTCGTCAACTTATCAAATGAAACTAAAAAAATGAACACATGAAGAGATGGTGAAGATAATGATTATGAGATTGAACTGAAAAAATCGCAATAAAAAACGATAAAAAATGTTAGTAGGAAATGTGAGTCTGGAAACACTTGGTCTCCAAATTCAAAAAGCTAGTCTCATGAGAGGCTTGAAAATCTGTGTCAGATGGAGAAACCAGATTGATGATTCTCAATTGCTTTCCTTACAATGATTACAATTATTATTACCATCGGTAACTCATCCAACTATTGTACCAAAATTAACCTAAAGTCCAAACATTCAACACAAACTCAAAGTTATCTCATAAGTATACTTATAATGTTTCATGATAAATGTTAAACTAATATTTTATCTCTGCCTCAAAAGTAGTAATAAACAATTTAGTTACTCCATGAGTGATTGAGTTACTCATGTTTTCCCTTATTTTTTACATTGCCAAGTCAAAAAGATATTATTATCATAAAATGCCTTTCCTGGATCATATTAATGGTTAATAGTAAAATATGCTGTTCATTTGAAACATAATTTAACCAATAAAATGTTTCCACCAACAAAATGCTTACAATTTTTTCACGTTTCCTCCTCACGTGGCTATTATCATCATTTTGATAACTTTTTACTCCCTGTTGTCTGAAGGTAGATAATGCTTTATCACTTGTTTTGCAACAATTTAATCTGTTTGCCCATCAATTCATCAAATTGGTTGCTTGTAAAATAATTTGTTCACTCGTTATTCACCATGAAATTAATGATAATTATTTCAACAGATTTATCCCATTAATACTCTTAATCCTGATAGTAGAAACATTGTTTCGCTTTTTTATCATGTAAAAGTTATTGAAACATCAATTGACAAAAGTTGAAATTCACTTTCAATTTTGTGCTTTAAATAAGTAATGATAAATCTCAATTACTTGATTTGTGATCAATCTTTTGATCAATCTTTTGACAAACGTTTAATATTTCGTTTAATATTAGTTTTCATTCATTTTGCCTGAAAAGGTTTCAATTTGCCATTTACTTCTGCTTTGTCACATAATCCTATTACTTTCAATAGATAAAGTTCAACTCTCAAAGTTCCTGCTCTTCAATCTTGCTAAGTTAATAACAGATTTAACATCAATTTGGATTCACTTTGATTCATCTTTTAATCCTAACAAGACAAAAATTTAAATCTATTCACTTTTTGACTCCAATAACTGATGATAACTTTTCATATTTAACCACTTATCAAATATCTTCATGAATCAATTGAAAAATGGTCACTTTTCATGGAAGTGAATTGATTTGATAACCTGCAAATGGTAATGATAAAGTTAGCAGAACTGTAAAATTAAGAAAATTTGAGTTGATTGCAGTTGAGAAAAATAACAATTGAAAATCGATGAGATTTTTTTCCCAATTTTTGGATGATAACAGAATGAGAATTTGTTAATCAAATGTAGATTTTGGTTGAAAGTCAATTGATGAATAAAATTGAATAACACTCAACAAAGTGATCTCTGTTGAGAATTGAAATGTTATCATTTAATGGGGTCAACAATTGAAGAATCGTAATAGTTTTGATCTGTTTAATAATAAAAAGAATTATGATAATGTTGGAATTTATCTGTTAGCTTTAGTTTTTTTATTGAAAAGAAAATCTTGTTGAAAGAAGTGAAAATAAATTCAAGATTCATGTTTTCATACTGAATGTTAAGTTTCAATAAAAGTAAGAAAGTTAAACAGAAACAACAACAAGCAAAGGGAAAAAGGAGAGAGAATCATGAAAAGACTGAGTTGGACCAATGATTCAGAACTTTCTCTTTCTTCTCTATTTTTGCAGTAAGAGTTTCATGTGTTCAAAAGGTACCATTAAATATATCACACAATCAGATTGAAAGGAGGACAAGATGATGATGATGAAGGGAAACTTTTTTTTCTCGCTCTCAGTTGGGCAAACAAGTTTAAATTAAAGTTTCAGCAAACAAAGTTCATGATTACTATTCAGTTATTGAAATTGATTACTGATTTATCATTATTCAACAATTTGTGCTCCATTAAACTCTTATTACTTTGAGTATCAAATAGGGAAATTTGTTTCATTTTTAGTCCATTTTTTGTTTTCATGTTCAATCTCATTTTTTCACCTTTCATTATTTATCTCATCATTTATTTATTGATATCATTTGCATTTTACAATATTATTATATCATGGTTTGTAGATTGCAGTTGGTTAAGGGGTTAAAGGTGACTTGGATCAAGATAAGGAAGTTACCTTGTTGACTTAACTTGTTGTTTTCATTTCCCTTTTCCGGTTGATAATAGTGACATTTGTATGAAATGCCTGATAATGCCAATATTAATGGGATAACTTTTTTATCTTGCATTTATTTGCTTATCATTTGCAGATTTGTTCATTTCATCTTGAGACTGAATATTTTTTTCTATTCTTCACTTCATTTGTTATTTTCATAACAATTAATAACAATTATGTTACCATTTCAATGATTATATTCAACTTTATGTTAGCTACTGATTTTTGCTTGTCCTTTTCAAGGTTATTTAGAGGTTAAAAGTGTCTGTATTTGTGTGTGTGCATGGATATGGCTTCACAATATGAGTTTGCTTGGTGAAGTTTCAACCAGAATCTCAAGCATATCGTTTTACCAAATGATAATATCGAGGGTTGACTGGGAGTTAACTGTAGCTGGCGTCCTCTATTGATGAAAAACGATACTAAAATCGCAAGTTAATTTTTTCTCAATTTTATAGCTCAAGAGTTGAGACCAAGCCTTAAGAAATGATAATATTTCTCTGTCTCGATCATGAATTGATAATTCTTATCCTTCCAATCCTGTCTTTAAGCTTAATATGTTTAATAAACTCCAACGATTTTTGATTACTGGAGTTCAATGGTAAATAAATGAAGATATTTTTTCAAACATATGCTCAGTCATTTACCCAAATGTATCCTCAAGGATTAGCACACAAATAGCAAACAATTTCAATCATTAAGCTCTATATTTTAATGTCTGAATTTTTCTCAAGAAAAGTATGTTTGTTGATCTTAAAGCAAAACTCGACCTTATGAAACTCTTCTTTGGACATGTAATCTCAGGGAAAAATATCATATTTCTACTTTCGAAAATAATATTCTCATCTATCATTTATTCCTACATCCGGGTCAAAATGCATTGGTTTAAAATCCAGGGATTGGTTGAGCGAAATATTATCAATATCTTTTGTAATTTCTGTAAAAATATTGATAGTTTTTCAAACTGGAGTTTCCAAGTAAATCGTAGAAGTAAAATATCTGAAAAATGCATTAGCTTATGTTTTAATCATTTTCATCCCATGTAAACATTTTCATGTTACAATTTTTGTTTAATTTAGCACAATTTGCTCATAAAATAACCAATAATCATTCAACCATTAGTTAATTCATTTCATTGATCTTGTTTCATACTTGAAGTTTGCCTTTATTTTGACTTTTTTGTGTGTTACAGCCTTCAAAAGTTGACTTTTTTCAACAATGTTGATGTTATCCAATGACCAAGTTTGAGCTTAATTTAATTAACTCTCTGAGAATCAATGACAAAAATAATAATGATGATCACTAGAGTTGAAGATGAAAAAATGTATATGAAAAAAGAAGCTGATAAGTTTCATAGAGTAGCATCATTATCATTAACATTATCATTAGTATTTAACTCAACTTTTCATTGAAAATGACAGAATATAGTGAATAGGCTCTCATCAATCTAATTATTATTTTATCCATTGTTCCACTTTTCATCAAATAACGTTTTCACAATCAATTATAATATACAATTAAAGTAGCAACTCAATAAAATATCATTTTAATGAACACACAATCTAGTTGAGTATCAATCTTAACCACCAAATACAAGACGGACTAGTTAAATAATAATTTTTTACCGGTTAATAATAATACTACTAATAGCAATGATGAACATCTGATAATATGAAATAATAACATTGAAACCAGTTGAAAAGTACGCAAAATCAAACTTAATTATCTTCATCATCATTATCATCCCAACGTTTCTAGATGTTTACGTTGCAATAGACAAATGTTTACTCTGAATCATGAGCATTCAAACAAATCTTTTATTCATTTTCACTTTACCTTTATTCTGATTAACCTTTCCATTGCTTTCTTCTCCTGCCTTTTCAATCATCTTTAGACTTATCTTCAAAGTTTAATTCCATGTAGAATTAATCCGATAAAAGTTCAATGGTGATGTGAACCAAGATACGTTAGATATCAGTTCAGACGAAACAGCATGAGTCCAATTTGACCTAAATAGGATAAATAAATAGACAAAAAGTCTGACAAGTTTAAGAATTGTTGATATAAATATTGAATCTCCATCAAATGAAACATTCATTGGTAGCAAAAATGAAAATCTCAGATTTAACCAATTTCAATGGAATGAATATTTGAGAAGAAGCAAAAGTTGGCCGTAAAGGTATCAAATGGAAAAGTACAAAAATTTCAATTCAAGTAATTGTTCTGAGATCATTTCTTGATTCAGAATCATACATTTACTTTCAATCATGTAATTTTTTCAACTTCATCGCCAGACCTTTGTTTATCTTCATCTCTTTTTGCTCATCTTTGTTTTTCAACCAGAGCTACCAGTAATGATAACCTGACTCTGATGCCTTTCGCCTTTTTATCGATTTACATTATTTTGTTCGTTGATTCCTTGCGCTGTGACAAAAGCCTGGAGATTCCTGCTCATTCTCAGTTTCCATTTCATGTCTACTTTTTTCACTTTCCTTCCATGGAGAGAAACATAGACAGAGAAGAAAGAGTTGATCTCGCCATATTTTGAGCCATCATTTTGCCTTTCTTTTCTTCCTCAGCCAATATCAGCCTTTCCTTCTTCATCTTTCTGGTAACATGAAAGGACCAGAGAATAGGTGTAGTGATGATTTAACCTAAACAAGAAGCTACAGTCGTTGAAATAAAAAAAGAAACATCAAATACAAAACAACACAAATGATGAACCAAGTGTACAGACTGATATAAATACATATCTTGTAATGTATTTATATTTATTAAATTATATTTATTCTTAGTTGATTAATCTTTTTCCCTTTTACCATCAATCTTCATTTTCAGTTTCTATCTCATCGTCTTCATCATCTTTTACCTGATTTCATTTCATCTTGGTTCATTTCTTTCTTTCTTCTGACTTACTATTTACTGTGATAATATTATCATTATGTTTGGCCCTCTTCTTTGTTGATCATTTAACTTTGTGTTATTCGTGTTAATCATGTTCATCGAATCAAATACAATTATTATTATTCAAGAAATGTGTCTCACAGAATCCAATGCATTCCTTTTAACAAGTTAATCAGCAGGTTAACCAATTCATGATAGACTAGGTCAACTCTGTATCCATCATTATCATCATCGCCATGATCCGTAATCATCTATTGATATACACATTCGGTCTCCATATTTGTTGATAGCAGCTTAACTTTTGATATTTCATTCAAACGATTCCAAATGATACTGTGTGTGATGATATTTTACTGCCAGCTGAAAGAAATAAGAAAAGGAAAAATCATTTACTTGCAAGTTTAACTCAAGTTTAATTTGAATTGTGATAAATTACTTCCATAACTAATCAAACACAGCAACAGACGCCTTTACCAGCAAACTATTTATTTCCGTTCAATTTTTTACCAATACAATTAACCAGTGACCAATTTAAAACAGTTGATTAAATCCCTGCCAGTCCCTGTGAACAAATTAATTTTAATTTACTCTCCAATTCAACTGTTACATCTGCAATTCATATCCATCCGTAATCTTAAAAGTAAATCCAGTTCTTGTTGAGACGAGAAATAATTTCAAATGCTATTCTGATTGATACATATTACTTGGTATTGAAGAGAACCGTATTATTTTATAATACGTATTTAATTAAAATGATATTATGATAACAACAAACTAGTTATCTTGAGATTATTTGGTTAAAACTTTTGTGATTTTGTAAAAAAATAATCATGGTTATGGCAATTGATACTTTAACCAGACTTTGTCCTGGTATTTTATTTGATTGGCGTTTATATGCAGAGAGAGGTTCACCTCAATACTTTCATCGACACACCGAGGGACATCGGGTCGATGATTGTGAACTTAGTTTTTTAAATAAGGTATAGCGATTAAAATGAAACCTAATCAAGAAAACTACATATTAGTGTTATATGTTAATGATGGAATCTAATTTCAACTCTTATCTTTTTTCAGATGTCTGATGATGAGAGACTTTCTCTAACCACAGCAATCTCGGACGATGACGATGGTGAGCTACGTAACTCTCCTTATCGAGCTAAAAGTGGAGCTGCAGCAGCAGCATTCCAATGTACAGGAGCTGTTCGTAAAGCTGGTTTCTTATCGGTTAAGAAATGGCTTCTACGTAAACGCCATCAAGTTGAACTGGCTCGTAAAAGAGGTTGGAAAGGATATTGGGTTTGCTTGAAGGGTACAACAATTTTGTTTTATCCTTGTGACTCTCGTGATGGTCGAGCCATTGAATCGAAACCACGACATTTGATAATAATTGATGGTGCCATCATGCAACCCATTCCCGAACATCCGAAACGTGATTTTGTTTTTTGCCTGTCAACAGCATTTGGCGATGCTTACCTATTTCAAGCACCATGCCAAATGGAATTAGATAATTGGATTGGAGCTATTCACAATGCCTGCGGGTCCGCATTTGCACGACATCGTGGTAAAACAGGAACACTTCATTTACTTCAAGAAGAAACACATCGAATTGAACGTGCTATTGAATCTGAGGGTAAACTTAAACACATGGCCGAGTTACAATTAACTGTTGTTGCTGATCCAGATTCACGAAAACAGTTGACTGATTCCATAAGATCATATGATGAAACTCTTGAATTATACCATTGTGAACAATTTCGTCTTCGCTGTTATATGTCCTCAATTCAGGGATCTGAATTACCAAATCCTAAAACTTTGCTTGCTCATGTTTCCAAACCAACTAAATCAACACTCAATCGGTTAGGTGTTTTCACTGTTTCTTCTTTCCATGCGTACCTTTGTGCCCGATCACCATCAACCTTGAAAAATATAATCTCCGTCAGAGGATCAACACGTCGCCGTGGACCCTCAACTATGGCTTCAACCTCTGGTACAAATATGTCAGCCTCAACTCGATCACTTTCTCGTCACTCTTCTGGTTCAAAGATAGCCTCCACAAGTGCTGGACTTTCCCGGTCAGCTGAACTTCCATCAGATAAATTAGTTCAAATGATTTTACCTCCAGATGATTCTATCCACACTATTCACGTTCGCGGAACTGAGACAGTTGAAGATTTACTTTGGCTTGTATTTACTGAAAAACAAATGTCACCAAATGACTATTTCATCAAATGTAAACGTCTCAATGGTGACTATTATATTCCCTTACGTCACGAAGTTGTTGATCATTTACCTCCTTTCGAAGTGATGGAAGTTGCAGCAAAAGTTTTGTATCAAGTTGAGCTTTCTCGACATTCCTTAGATCAACTCTTTGGTTTCTCGGTTGAAGCTGAACTGGTCGAGAGTACTGTTGAATCTCATAATCAAGATGAATTGTGTGTCTTTGTTTCAAGAGTAGAAGAGAATAGTTTAGCAGGTAATCAAGGCCTTAAAAAAGGAGATGAAATAATGGTCATCAATGGTGCTATTGTTTCAGATCTTGATATGATGTACATTGAATCAGTTCTCCAAGAAGAATTATCACTTTGCATGATGTTACGTTCATGTCGCACTGATCCTCCCGATCCTGGATCTGCAATTAGGTCCACGGATGATTTTATAGAATCATTAGTTTGTCCTCCGCCACCCTCTGACGGTCATATTAGTGATGAGATGATTGGTAAATTAATAGTACCTTCACCACTTTGGGTTCAAGAGAGAAGTCGAAGTGGATCAATACCCTCTTCCAGTTTACAAGGAGCGTGCCAATTTTCAGGAACATCAGCAACTGGAGTAACAATGGCTGGTGGAAGTGGTACAGGAGGTGGGCCAACTTCATTAACCACTTTGACAACCATAGCACCTCCATTGAACACTTGCCTTCCTCTCCAGGTAACTGGAGAACAGATTGCTGAGACTTTGCTCAAAAGTGCTGAACATGTTACCTCTGAATTATGTCGTGCCACTGGTGGTGCTGTCGGAGGAGTAAATCATTCACTTGGTGGTGCTACTGGAGGTATCACCAGTGGATCCAAGGGTTCAGCCAATATTGACACCAATACAGGAGGACCTGTAGCTGTTTATCCACCGCAATATGTAACATCAAATAAACCAGTAACCCAACATATACATACCAGTCAATTACAATATCATAAACCAATGGCAAGCAATTCCATCAGCCTCTCTTCGAGTGGACAAGGCTCTCAACAGCGAAGTATCGATGAATCAGATAACCAAGGTTATGTAAAGCGACCACCTCTTTCAGATGCTGAAAAATTAAGGAAAGTTATAAAAGAATTGGTTGATACAGAGAAAACATATGTTGAGGTAAAATTAATTTTAAACTCTTACACATTTTTACAGACGCGCCATATTTGCAATTTTAACTCTTGATTCACTCTTTTCCAAGAAAGAAGTGAAAAGATTAATTATTACACGAGATGGCGCAAAGCATTGATTAACTCACCAACTTACTAAACGTACATTTGTTAATCATGTCTCAAGTTAATTGCTTTATCATTTTCCAATTATTAATCATCTTTTTCTTTTTCTCTAACTTCTAACATCATATAACAGCATTTGAATAACCTTTTGGATACTTACTTGGAGCCTATGAAGCAACGAAGTCTTGTTTCAATCCAAGATATAGCATTATTATTTGGTAACATTCAAGAGATTGTGACATTTCAACGAGCTTTTCTCGAATCTTTAGAGGAATCAATCAAGATGGAAGAGTCATTTGATTCATATAATCAACCTTCACAGTTTAGGAACATTCTTTTCGCAATTGGTAATTCATTCCTACTTTACGCTGATAAATTTAAATTATACTCATCATTTTGTGCATCACATTCAAAAGCCTCAAAAATACTTCATCCCTCAACTGAAGCTCAAAATCCAGCATTAATTGAATTTCTTCATACAACATCCAGAGGACAACACGCCAATTCCCTTGAATCATATTTAATAAAGCCAATCCAGAGAATATTAAAATATCCATTGTTATTGTCACAATTGAAATCATTAACCGATGTAAACTCCGATGAACATAAACACTTATCACAAGCATTGAAAGGAATGGAGCGAGTAGCTGAACACATAAATGAAATGCAAAGGATCCACGAAGAGTATGGAGCCATCTTTGACCATCTACAAAGGCAGCATCTAAAGTCATTGAAGATTGCCATTGAACTGAGTCCATCTGAATTATTGTACTATGGTGGTGTTGAATGGGCCAATATAAGTGAATTTTTGGGTAAAATCAAGAAAGGCTTGGATCTTCATTCAATGTGTTTCGTCTTTAAAAGTGCAGTTGTATTCCTGTGTAAAGAGCGAATCCGACAGAAGAAGAAACTTGTCTCTGTTTCATCTAAAATATCTGAAGTAGAAATTATTCGTTATCAAGTATTGATTCCAGTCACTGAAGTGCAAGTTCGAGCAACATCGACAAAAGATGAAAAAGGTGCTACTAAAGATGCCAATAATAATGCCACCAACAGTAATAATAATCAATTAGCTAATAATGAGCAAGGAGCTTCACAGTATCTTTGGGAACTAATTCATCTTCGTTGTAGTCAAATTGGTGTGTCCACTCAAAGAAGAACCGAAAAGGTTTACCATTTATCCAATAGTACAAGTGAATTCCGTAATGCATTCCTACGAACAATTAGACAAATCATCAGGGAAAGTGTAAAAAAAATGGTTGTGCCTGTAACTAGACCTATTAGCAATTCAAAATCATCTCGTCAAGGATCAGCTGAGAGTCCTGTTAATGATAATGAAAATAGCAACATAAACTATATCAATAATGGTAACAGTAAAATACCTGATCACAAGCAATCAAATTCAGAATCTCAAGGTACCAATAAGCAAGTTCCTTCTTCGTCAACTAGTGATACTCATCACCATTCGTAAGTATTTCAATCACTGTCCATCAAAAGCCTGTGTTTTGTCTCTGATAAATCCTTTTCCTTATTTTCCAACTCCTAACCATGATTAGCATTAACATCCAACATTCATTACTAGCATTACAAAGATAAGTTCGAAGAGAAACATTTGTATTTCAGTGAATTTCCTCCAATTCAGACTTGTCTTTTCTGCACCACTTGCATGTTTTTTATGTTTTTATTTTATGTTTTCATGTTATTCATTGATATTGATTTTACTTTGATTATCACATATCGAAACTCATTTCTCATTAATATACAGCTAGATTTGGTTTAAAGGATACAATGGAAGACATTTTAGTGAAGGGAATAAAAAACATTGTAAAATGAAAAATGAGTGATACAGTGAAATGAGCTTCAGTTGAACCCGAATGTTTTTTCAGTTATTTTATTCCAGTCGTTTTATTTGATGATATCGATGAGTGGTCAAATTCACCTCTTATGTTAAACCCAAATCCTTTGCATTTAATTACATCAGGGACAAATGACAGCAATCAATCAACATTGGGTTCTCTTCTCATCATTCCCATTCCTATTCAACTTTAAAACAGTAGCCTGTCCCGGTCATCATCAACAACCGCCACACCAGCAACTGGATCAACTAATAGTAACATGAATAGTAAACCAGCAATCAAGCAGAAACCCGCTCCCCCACCAAGAGCACCAACAACCGCCAAGTCAACCAGTAGTGGACTGACCACAGCTCAACAACAGGCAGCAATGAAGGAAAAGATGGAAAGGGATCATCACCACCATCATTCATCATCTTCATCATCAGCAACTGGTAACAAGCAACCCATTAGCTGTGGCCTGTGTGAACACGGTACAAGTGCAGATAAATCAGACCCATCCTCTTCATCTGGCCGTGGATCCAAGGTTTATCATGAAGAAAAGGATTCCAAAAAGACTGGAGAAAAATCAAACCAACGTAAATCAAGCAAACAATAATTCAACCTCAGCCAATAAACCAGGAACAAAAAGACTTCAAAGGACAATTATAATCACAGCCATAAAACACTTTACACGCAAATAATCACATTTGATCATCACAGAATCACTAAATAATGTTTAAACACAAACTTTATAAGCTCTGCTAAATGCGAGCAAAAAATGTGCCAAGTTAATCAGGAATGAAAAAAACAAAACAAAATGAAATGCTAAAAACTAATGGACAATAAGCAAAGCCAATTAACTGACCTCCTTTTCAAGCTCTTCCTATCTTCTTCTTCATTAACCCTTTTTAACAAATCTTTCAAATCTTTCAGCATAAAACCATTTCTTTATATTACTACTTATTATACATGATAATACAAAAATAATATAAATATAACAAGACAGCTAACGAAAAAGCAACAACAAAGGGATGTATTGAAGGCTTCCAATTGATCTTTTTGTAATTCATCGTTTTCCTTAACCAAATTTAGCTTAAATCTTATACAAAAACAAAATCAATAATTTAAACATTTAAGATTTAAATTAGGGTATCATTAACTGAATATACCTTGATTATTTCTTGATACTCAATTTTCCCTCCCAAGGTAATTCGCTTGGAGTGTACAACAAAATACTCAACTCCTGACTCAATGTTAAGCCAAATTGATCCACTTTGGTCACAAACGGTTTATCCTAATTTATCTTCCTCTTAATCTTTCCCTTAATCTTCCCAATGTTTACCATCAACTAATCAGCTCATTGTAACTGAACAATGATGTGAGATAATCTGAAAATCAGCTTTTCTTGTTTCATTGACAAAACGTTTAACCAGAAAACCAGAAAAATGTTTAGTTGGTTAAAATACTTGATCTTCACACCTTTACTTTACCAGATTAATTTTGAGCTTCCTAACTCTTTTGTCTTCTTTACCAAGCAATATTGTACTTGTAATGCAAGAAGAATCCAAATCCAAACTAATTAACTAATTAATTTGTGATAATCAAATTTTTCATCCTTTGAATGGTCACAACACGATTAATCAAAGGAAAGGTTTGACTGGTTCACAAATATTGCAAACCTAACAATAAGATAGGATATAATATTAGGTTGAAACAAAATAAAGTGATAACGAAGAAAGAAATTAATAAATCCAATGAATTAATTTAACAAAAAGGTCAAATTGTTCAATTAAAATATATATAAATGTATGTTAATTATATGCGAAAAACAATTGTTTAATTGTTTCACTTTTTTTCAGTTTTTTTCTGACAATTTTGTTCCGTTTCAATCAACAATTACAATTAATGAAAATCAATTGATCAAAAAATTTATGTTTAATCATTAGATTTACAATTTTCTTGGACTTTCATTTAAAGGATCATTTTATGTTAATCAAACACTTGTTATCATCAATATTATTTAATTGATTAACCAAATTAAGTTTAAATTGTAAAACCTTTTTGTTACATTTAAAGACAAGAAAAGCCAAACTTTAGCTCAAATTTTAACATTACAATGATGATGATAAATTGTTAAGTCGATTGTTGAATATATTGCAATGTAAATTGTTACCTTAACAGTAATTTAAATTGTTGTTAATGGTGGCAATAAGGTCAAAATACTGATCAAGTTAATTTGACCAGATCGCATGAGATGAAATATTGTAAAGCCAACAATCGACAAAAGCATCATCAAATTCAATCTTGTAAACTAAAACAATTGTCCGATTGTTATTAGTTGCTTTTATCATTACAATTAGCCAACAATTATGTTATTAGATGAACTCCTTAATTGTTTCATTTAAAACTATGTTTAATCCTTTCTTTATCTTCCACAATTTGTAAAATCTCATTTTCAAAATAACACAAAAACACAAACAAAAACTGACTGTTACTCTTATTATTATTATCAGTTCATTTCTAGTCAATGACTTTGTTATTAACTAATTAATTGAATAAACTCACAAGATTCGTCTTTTCATTTTCGTTTCATTTCTTTTTTCACCAAATCATGAAATCGCGAAATAATGATAATCGAAAGGTGATAATCCTTTGGTAAGAAAACCTCAAAAAAATGAGACTAATCATTTAACTCGATGATCAATATCATTGGAAATCTTCAACAGGAATCATCCTAAAACCTGGAGTTGATCAACTGAGAAAACAATTTATTGAGTTTTTTCGGGACTTTCGGTATTCTTGGATTTGGCTTTGGCTACGAATAAGACAAAACTTATCAAAAAAAGTTATTCGTCATTGAATTTGTTTGAATTATAGCATGAAAACCTCATCAAAACTTCATTTTCTCATGGATTTTGCTCTTTTTCCGACAATTTATTTGATTCTTCCCTGATCCAGCTCTTGTTTGGATTCATAATGCTAATAACTTTATGAGTTTGAGATGTTCAGAGAGAAATAGTAAATTGATTGAGTTTCTTGCAGTTTACAGTTTATTGGTTCAGTTTGAAAACTTGAATTGAGTTTAAGTTGCGATTTTCAAATTAAATTGGAAACATGATGAAAATATGCAAATTTGATTCCCTTTTAGCTGTTTTTAAATGTTATTGTTTTTTGCCAGCTTTACTTGCTTCTGTCAGGATTTTTGATTATGATGGATTGATGTGATAATTGACCATTTAAAACTTTATTCAAAATTGTTATTTTGTAACAAATAGTCATCAATGTTAACTGCAAACTTCAACATTGAAACAAAAAGCTGATAAAGCAATGATCAAATCAATTTTGATGAGCATCAACTGGACAAATAGAAGGGTCATCTAAAATAAATTGTAAAGCACAATCCAAAATAGTTTTTCATCCACTACTGAAATAAACCTCAGATATAATTTCAGTCAGTCTGTAATGGACAATTCTGACAAGTTTGTAATTATCTCAGGTCAAGTTGTCTGCAAAATTCTGATCGATTCGATTCATTTGGATATCATTCTTTCCTGATCGAAATTCAATGTTCAAAATCAATTTCTCAATAAACGACTCTTTTACTGTGAGATTAATCTTGATTTATCATTAAATACCTGATGGAGTTGTTGACGGCTACCGATTTAGGTTCCAGTTTTTCAAGATTGAAGTGGTTCTTTAGTGTCCATAATGAACATTGGTTAATTGTCTAATTAAATGTTATCGTTTAGATGAAGCCAAGCATTTGAATCTCTTGTCTTCTTGTGATTCCATTGAATTACTTGTTACACTAATTAGGAGATTTAATTCCGAAATTTGTTTCTCTATTTACAGGGGTTATTAGCTTCACCATTGGAGATAATAAGATGGCTTGTTAGAGGTCCAATGAACTTGGTATAAGATGAGGTTGATGGTGAGCAAGAGAAGATTGTTGTTAATAACATTCATGATGATGATCATCATTATCCTTTATGGATCCATGATCGTGCGTTGGTTGGTTGTAAGTGAATCTCAAAAAGTGAATACAACTTTCCTTTTCTCAGGTTATATTTTTGTGTAAAAAAAGCTGCAAAAGTGGAAGGATTTTGGTCAGTCAGAAGGCTGTAAGTTTGGCTTGTAAAGTAAAAATAAAAGGCCTCTTACCTTATCCCATTGCTTTCCATCCTTGTAAACCTGTAAAGGTTTGTTGATGGTTTCATTAAACTTGCTCATTACAGAGGCGGGGGCCAAATGTACTTAACTGGCCTTGTTTATATTGCGTGGCCAGTTAACAAGGGATCAACATGATCGCCTTAACTCTTTCTTGTTCTCAATCCTTTTCCCGATTCCTCACACGCTAACTTTTATTTCCACACTTTTTAAACTAAAGCGTATTTATGATACAGAATGGACATTTAGCTGGATAGACTTCAAGTTGGGTGAAAAGTGATGACAATTTAGATCATTGTTGGTCCTTTTCAGAGGTGACAGGAAGCTTGGATTAAATGGATGAAAAGCAGTAACATTGAGTTGACTAAAAAGACACAATTGACACAATTATTACATTTACAAACAAACTTACACAAATACTGGAAAACGAATGGCTACAATTGGTGTAAATAAACTTTCTCTCAAATTTTAACGCTGCACGTTTGTAGAGACATTAAAACTGAGTTTATTAGTGTGATTAAAAAGTTTGTAAGACCGATAGTTTACAAGAAAATCGAGTCGAAAGTTGTAACTTCGATCGCTTTTTGTACGATAACGGAAGCAGATATTTTCATGAAACTTATTACTCATATGTGAATTTTGATTATCTACCAGAAAATGTATTTATTTTGATAAATAAAATTTTCTGTTCCAAATAAAATCGATAAGTTCGATTTTCATTTAAACCGACTTATTTCGGTATCCGAGAAATTCAGACATCTGAAACTTATTTCACGTCCATAAATATTGATTGTACACACTATGGACTGAATACTTTTTTCGCTTTAGCGATAGTTCTCTTGATTTTGGCCCTTAACCCAAAAACTTTGATGCTAAATATCTCGAGAATGTTAGCTCCCAAAATCATGAATATTCGACCGAACATTAGATTTTGTTATGGGCTATAATATATGCAAATATTGGATGAGTGAAGAACCTGCGACAAAAGTTATAGCATTGTATTATTTTGTTTCCAGATTTGATACCAGATTAACAAAGATAACTGGTTACTTATCACGTGTCAGGAGAATATTCATTATAAGATGAATTGGTTCAGCTCTCTTGGGTTTCTAGTCACATATTATTATAGCCCATATTAAAATCTAATTTTTGGTGGAAGAATCGTGGTTGTGGGTCAAAGCATTCTCGAGATATTTAGCATTGAAGTTTTTGGGTTAAGGGCCAAAATCAAGAGAACTATCGCTAAAGCGAAAAAAGTATTCAGTCCATAGTTTGAACAATTAATTTTTATGGACGCGAAATAAGTTTCAGGACTCTAAATTTTACGGTCCCAGAAATAAGTCGGTTTAAATGAAAATCGAACTTATCAATTTTATTTGGAACAGAAAATTTTATTTATCGAAATAAGTGCATTTTCTGGTAGATAATCAAAATTCACATATGAAGAATGAGTTTGGTGAAAATATCTGCTTCCGTTATCGTACAAAAAGCGATCGAAGTTACAACTTCCGACTCGATTTTCTTGTAAACTATCGGTCTTACAAACTTTTTAATCACACTAATAAACTCAGTTTTAATGTCTCTACAAACGTGGAGCGTTAAAATTTGAAAGAAAGTTTATTTACACCCATTGTAGCCAATCGTTTTCCAGTATTTGTGTAAGTTTGTTTGTAAATGTAAAAATGGTTTATTTACCAAGAAATAGGTTTATATGAGTTTGTTTTGTTAAATAAGTTGTTGCTTGTACATTTACAAGCCAAATATCGTAACCAAAAGCGCTAATGGAAAGTTATTCCAGTGAATTAAACTATTAATTCGTAAAGAAGTGTATTGGTAAAAGAATAATGATTTTAGGTGATGCCATTCTCGAAATATCGAGTCGCAAAAATTTAAGTCCAATGGCCAAAATCAAGAGAACTGTTGTTGCATTATTGAAATTATTCAATCTATGAATTGAGAAAACAATTTTTATGGACAAATAATAAGTTTCAGTTCGCTAACTCTTAAGGTCACAGAAAACGATCGATTTAACTCAAAATCGAATTTATTGGTTTCCAGAAAAATAAAAGTTTAATTTCTTGAAATAAGTGCATTTTCTGGTTGATAATATAAAAAGCAGTCGAAGTTTCAACTTTGCATTCGATTTTCTCGTGAACCATCGGTCATAAAAACTTTTTCATCGCACAAATAAACTCAGTTTTGCTCCATCGGTCATAAAAACTTTTTCATCGCACAAATAAACTCAGTTTTGCTGTTCCTACAAGCCAACAGAGTCTGAATCCGAAAGAGGTTTATTTTTACCCGTTGTTGCCCATTTGTGTCGAGTTGTGTATAAATGTGATATTTGTTTCTTTTTAGCAGCAACCGGTTAGTTACTTGAGTGACAAATCATTCATTTACGATACAAAAGAAGACCTTTTCATTTGTTGTCTGGTTCATGTTAACCTGATGTACTCTTTCAGGTTCAAAGTTTTAACTTTATCCATTCTGTCCTGATTTCTGGCTAAACCATTAAAAAAACTTAATGTATCACTTCTTGTGGTAAATTGGCGATAATCATCATTAAACAGACTTGAACAAGAGATGCTAAATTCATTTTGTAACCTTTTCTATTTTCCATGTAAAACAGCGACGTTATTTGTAATCTTAGTGACCTGTCAGCTCTAACAGATGAATTTTTTGAAATAATTTTCCTAAAATTTAGCGAATGCCAATTTGCCGAATAAGCTTTGAAATTGAAAATTGAGTAACATTGAAATTGTGTTTTGACAGGCAAATTATTCGTGGGTTAGATATTTGAAGCTTCAACTAACCAGAATAATCAAATAAACCATCTTTCATCCTTCCATGACCTCAGATATTCATTGATCAAAATGGTAATCGATGAAAATTTTGTTCGAGTTGAACGTATTTTGTTTGGCAAATTATTTCGCAAAATGCTTTGGTAAATAAATCTCAAAGGTTAACCAATAGTGATAAATTGGTTATAAGGTAAATTTGTGTTCAATAGCCAAAATTTTACACCCGGTTCTGGATAAAGGGAAAAGTTGGGTAAAAAATGGAAAGAAAAATGAAAATTATTATTGAATTGGCAGATGAATCAATCATCAGAATTCTGGTGTTGATCTTGAAAAATGATCATCGAGTTAAAAAATATGGAAACAGCAAAGTTATAATTAGTCAATGAAGAGATTGGTTAAGGTAAAATCAAGTCTCATCTCGAGAAAATATTCAATATTTCTAGCTGTTCTAACCTAAATTTGAGTATTTCTGGTAAAATTGAAATCACAATTGAATCAATTTTGAAATCCAAATCATATTGCACGTTTTAACCAACTCTGAAGCTACTCATGATGGTAATAGCTAATAATTCAAGATGAACCATTTACTGAAAACGATTCTCTGTGAACAAACACTAATTAAACTTGAATTGTACTATTATTTGAATCAATTGAAATCATAAGAGATCATCAATCAAGCTAAGTTGTGTTTGCCAAAAAATGCAATAGAAACAAAAAAAAGCTAAAAGACTCGCATTCGAGATTATTTAGTCTTCATCAGTCTTCATTAAGGCCTCATTAACCCTCTCATTAACCCTCCACCCTGACTTTAATTTCAAGCTATAAAACTCAAGTATTCATGTTGATTAACCACATGATGAATCAAAAGAATGGATCAATAGAGTCAAGTCAAATCACTATTAGTTATGTGAAACCATGAATACCTAATTTTTGTGCTAAATCGTGCTTTACGTAAACTTGTGATCTTGATTGCCTATTTGGTGAATCAATTAATTGCCAGGGAAAATTGCCTTCACTCAAGTAACAGATACAGATGAGTCTGAAGGACTATAAAACGCCATCAAGACAAGAGGCGAAGGCCTGAAAAGGAATTGAGATTTTAGCTTAAACAGATTGTCGATTCAATTAAGATTGTTTCAATACAATTGTTAAATCTAATGGAAGCTGATGAATCGTGAATTGGAAAGTTAATCCAACATGAAAAACGTTAATATCCCAAAGAGGATGTTAAAGATCGGTTTTAAGGTAAGTATTGAATGTAATCACAATCCTCATTGAGATCACCTTTGATAAGGGGATTCATTTGAAATTAAATTGCCTCAAGGTAATGGAATGTATACCAGGTAATTAAAGGTTAAGAGAGCATTTAATAATGTATATTTATACATTGAAACATCTAAATTAACTGATGGTGGAAACACAAAAGACAAAGATTAATGAAACATTATTCTGTTGATGAAAACAATCGTATGAAAATGAACTAACCTGAGGTCAATTAGTGGATGGTCTGGTTAACATGGAGTAATCAATCTTGATATGAATCAGGGTAAAAAATCAAACATATTCAGTGAATAATGATTGAAAAAAAAGCGAGACAATAAACAGCAAATGGTGAAATGAAAGTAAACGTTTTTGGTTAACAATCGCCAAAGCTGCGATTCAATGGCTACTTGATTAAGATGGTTTATTATTTCTTACCTGAGGAGACCAAATATTTAATGAAACGCTTGAACCTGAAGGTGATGGAACAATTTATTGTATTTATAATGAAATTCATAAATAAACAATTAACGGCACAATTGTAAGCAAATTGAAGTACACTTTTTGTTTTTTACTCCTTACATTGTTTCCAACGTATTTAAACGGTTCGATTGAAATTCATTGGATCCAGCTTACGTTTTGTATTTGATTGAGGTAATTGTAACGTTTAATTATGATATTGTAGTGCATAAAATGATTAGTTTAAACCAGCAATTAATGTAAAATGAGAGAAAGCGTTTAAATAAAGAAACAAAATAAGAAACAGAGTTAATAAGATTTGGCCTTTTTTTGAATTTGTTGTTGCTTGCCTGTTTATTATAACACAAATGCTGCAGCTAATGATTATTAACATGTTAACAACAATTTTCAATATTAATTGTAAACAGTTCATCGGTTCAACAACTAATTACAATTACAAAATGAGTTAAACAATTATTTGCTAATGATTTCATCGCTTAGGTTAATAATTTTCACAAAAATATCAAATCACAATGAAATTGCTGTTAGTAAATTTATTCTCGATCCCTCTAACCATGTGATTACATATCTTTTGTTAACCGCCAACTGCTTTTGTTTGCATTTTTTAATTTAATACATTGTTTAAGAGTTATTTTTGCTTTTTGTGTGGATCAAACCAGTTGATATTTATTTTCAATCATCAAAGTTAATTATTATTTCAATCTGTTCATTCACATTTTAGTTTAATTGGCGATTCAAAGGTTTGGTAAGTCGTTTATCTGTTTTTTTTTGTTACGTATTTTATAAAATAGAGAATATTTGTAGTGTAATTTGAAGTGTAATACGCCCCGTTGTTACTCAAATTTCTGATCATTATTTTTTATCCTCATTAAATTGATTGTCACTTGTTTTAGTGTCTAAATAATTCTAATTCATCTTCTTTTTGTTTCAGGCCACCATGTAAAACAAGAGGATAAAAGGATTCACCAGGACTGATTTCAACTTGGCTAACAACTTGTGACTACATGTGTACATGGAAAAGAGAGCCCCATTCAAGCCTCAATCAATTTTTCAACACAATCTAGGTACCAATCAGTGGTTATGATTGAACTATGATTGAACATTGAGTCATTGGGAAGATGTATAACATGGAAGAAAGAATGAGTGTTTACACCAAGGTATGCTCTTGAGGGTGCAACATCCATCAAGCAAGACCTTTTCTCATTTTCCTTTTGACCCTTTATCAATCTTCAACAGTTATTCATTTTGATTTTGCATTTAAGTGTGAATGTTTATGTACATTTTGTATTTCTTGCTGATTCAACCATCATTTGTCATCTGAATGATTGAATGGGTATTCAAGTTTAAACGAAATCAAAGTGAAAGTGAAGAAACATGAGAAAGTCAGAATATAAATGATAAGCAAAATTATTATGACAAGGGTGAGCAACGTCCTACGCAAATTCATCTATCAGATCATCGTTTAGGAGGTTTCCTCATCAGCGCTCACATCATCCAGGTAGACAGTTGACACTCTCACTATCTTTCAATCTCGTCTTCTACCCCGATCATTTCTGAAAGGGTTATTACAATGGAAAAAATCGCTCAACTTGGGTGTTGCCTTACCCTCTAAAAGTCAATCTATTTTCCCCTGTTCTTGATGGATATCTCTTTCACTTTTTGCTTAACTCTTTTCCACCTTTTTACCCTTCACTTTTCTTCTCCTCTTTCCAACCTTACCTTCATTTCCTCAGGTCTTTCAACAATTTTTGATGTTCAATTAAAATTGTGCCCCTCTTATCATCTCAAACCTATCAAACCATGTAGATAACAAATTAACTACTTTAATTGCTTGCAAACTAATACATTTTTTTTGTTTTTTCAGTCAAGGAATTGGCTTACTTCAATTTAACCAATGGACACATGTACAATATACAATTTCAGATATATCCGATGTTGCTTGATTTTCATGATCAAATGAAAATTCCTGTTGTACAACGTCAACTCATTCCACACCTAAAACTATCTCAGCGTGAAGCTATTGAAATCAACGACCGACAACATGGTGATGATGATAATTATCATCATCAACAACCACGGTTCGTCTCTAGATAATTGCACTATTAGTTCATGTTATTTCAAGATACAAAATCTGATAAAGTTCAAAGGAAGAAAATTGGTTAAACAAAATCCTGAACATGAAGGTTTTCATGTCTCCTTATGTCAATTTTCAATCAGCCAATTCATAATCACTATTGATTACCCAACACTTCCCTCACAGTTAAAATACGCGTGTAGTTGGTTCTCTGTTGAAATTTGGCTATTCATCATATTCAGTTACCTCATCACGGCAACTGAAAAAACTGGCGATAAAATTAATTTTTGCCTCTCTAAATCAGATTTATTAATTATTAACTTTCTGCTCAAGTTAAACTTTCACTTAACCCAGCTTAAAATTGTTTTCAACTCTTCACGGCCCATCATTACCATAATTATCATTTTCAAGACAACCAATAAAATGATATTAATGGGAATGAAGGCTAAATTGCCAAATTTTAATGTTGTTTCATGTACACTTCCATATGTACAGACCTGTGGTTTATGGTTGCGGTTAACCATCAGGAAAAGTGAATATACTTTAATCTAATTACGAGAACATATTAATTGATATTTTGCTTTAGCTAATAATAAACTGTATCCATGCCTCAACTCCAGTTGAAACAAATTAAATATGCTAGCACACTAACGATGCCTATAATACATTTATCCTGATGATTATAACAATGATTATGCTGATTATTATGTTGATGATTGCGAGTATGATTAGGTTGATGATAATTTAAATGCCTTTGGGCCTGACAGCAAAAAAAAGTGACAAGTGAAAGAGTTGAAAATCCGATTCAGAGATGATTATAGTTGGAAGAGGAAATGAGTGTATTGAGATGTTGATGAAGAGTGGTGACGATAAAAGTGAAACTGGCGATCAACTAATAAAAAATGACAAAAAAAAGAGAGATGATTAATTCAATCTGATCGATGACGGTGGTTAATCAGTCGGTTAAAATGATGAAACCAGTTAGCATGGGAAATAAGATTGATTAGGAATAGCAAGGCTTAACTCTTGTGTGAGTGTAACTAATGGTAAGACAAACAACGTCTTGTCTTATAAGGCTTAATTCAGAGGTAAATATCATCATTAATGCAATATTATTATCATCTTTTTTTTACTTCTCTCCCTCCTTTCATGATCATGTAATATTTATCAGCCATGTAAAAGCAGTCAAGACTTATTTACCCATAACATAACATTCATTAAACTGCTTGTCTCTACTGTAACACCGGTTTGATACTTTAATTAATCTTATCTGTTTCATTCATCGTTGATTTAATCAGTGTTAAGATAACCATCCTAGAAAGACTGTTATTATTATGTATTTACCTACATTATGTTGTTGGCAATCAAGTGAAAGTGGATAAATATTACATCTACAATTCAATAAAAAACAAAATTGACCAAATTTAATGAGAAACTTGAGATCTATGATTGGACTCATTAAAAAGTACTCTATGCTGTTTCATACAAACAACTTATCGGCTGTTCAAATCAGGATTGAATTAAGTGTACAATCCATCATTTTACCCGCAAGGTATTAATAATAATGCAAAATATTTTATTGAATAAGTATTAAAAAAAAGGGAAAAAATAAAATTAAGCAAAAAATTGAGGTAAAAATTGAAAGGAGAGGCAACAATATTAACTTATATCTGTTTTGTGTTTCGCGCTTACATTTTTGCTCATATTTTTCTGCTCAACCAGTTGCTTTCAATTTGTCCCAATTTTTAACCAAACTCTTTAAGTTCCTTCTTCATCAACATAAAATTCATCTTTAGCTTAAATCAATAGTGATTGTAATTAATAAGATAATTCTAATTAATATTTTCTTTAGTGATTTAATTATAAAGTGTTAGTTAAATTAGTTGAAATGGACACCAGAATAAGTGTATTCACAGAGACTAAAGGAAAAATTGGGAGAACTCTCAAGGTCAACCTCAGGTCAGTCAAGGTGCTTCATATTTTAGGTTTTGTTAAACCGGAACTAAGTAAAAGGGTCTTCTCTCTTTTGATATACTGTGAAATACTTCCAAAATTTATTAATAAAAGATAATCTTACTTAAGAAGAAAATTCTGAAAAGAATCATTCAAAAAAAAGCATAAAGCTCCATATGATTAAAAAACTGGACAACACCAGTAAATAAATAGAAATTAGTCTAAGAAATTAGACTATCTACTGAGAAAAGATGACAACAAAGTTTATAAATCTATCTGTGGATGGAATGAAAGAGGAATGAAACATGTAATAACTGAATAAGAGTTGGTGAGTGAGATGAGAAAAGATTTTCTTTCAGAGGATGAAATACTTCAGATGTCAAAAGAAGGAAAGGATTGGAACATGGATACTACGGAGGGAAAACAATGGACAATATTAACAGAATGGATAAATCTGGTGATTGGAAGAATTGAACAAGAGGATAAATCATCACGGAATTAAACCAATCAAGATGAATGAGCCAATCATAATTCTGGAATCAATTGCAAAACCTTAGAGATAGTACACTATGTGATAATATTTGTAATTGAATAATTTTCTTGTAATTATAACATTAATCTATAATTTGTACTGAAATAAGGCCTGAGAAGCCATGTGACCACACCAGGGGGCAGGACAGACTATTAGTCTGTAAAACTGTTCAGTCATTTGTATTTGGCCTGCTTGTATTTGATACACTCTATTAAAATCTCATCTTTATCATTATTTTAATCATTTTGGTGATTCTCATTCTCGTTTTCATCATCTTCATCATTAATGTTATCTAAATCATATTAATAATCAGTATTTTGCTGATGTTTCGTCATCTTTCCAGGTCGTCCAAGCAATCCTTGGTTATAGTGCTGCCTGTTGCATAAGGCCTAAGGGTCTAATAATAGACCGAAAGTAAGAGTTATGCTAAAGTGATAGGTTTACCATCAATTCTGGAAGCGCCTCAACCATCAACCTCCAAGCAACACCACTTACAATGAACTACCAGTCATCTCGCATGTCATTAATCTACGGAACATGAAACACACAAGACAATAAGTTGACTGTTGATTTTCCCAACAGCGCAAATCTTACGACTCTTTACTCTTGTTAATATGCATCGCTTTGTTTTTCAACCATCAAAAAGGTAAAATAATCAACCATTTAACATTTGATTATCAACCTCAACACCATCTTAATCATCACCATAAAAACAATTAATTTCATTATGAATAAATCTTGAAGATATTTTTAATGAAACAACGTAACCTGTTGATCATGAAGGGAATGAGTAAAAGCTAAAGGTAATTATAATGCAACAACCTTACATATCTGTGATTTTTAATTTAATAATAAATTTCTATTTGTCACAATATAGCATTCCAGTTATTGAATTATCAAGTAAACTCGCTTGGATAACGGATATTTTCACCATCATCTCATTATCAATCACTGATTAAAAATAGTGGCCGCTTTGTTTTCCAGCTTCTACTCTCATGAATAAGAAACAACTAAAAAGCGGTTGAAAGAAAATATTAAAAGGCCAAAATATTGGGAGTGAGATTTTAATTCATATTCATTGGCCTGTTAGGAAGAGCATTAGCATGCAACTCGTGATTACAGGAACTGCTTTTTCCATCTCTATTCATCTTCCATGATGTAAAATGAAAGAGGATAAAGGAAGAGAAGAAGAAAGAGAAGGAAAGAGATAGAGAGAGAGGCCAGTTTAAGCTTGATAAATTGCTTATTACGAACAATCTTCATTATCATTATTCGCGTTTTTTTCTGCTTTCATTTTTTCTGGATAACAACTCTTAGTGATTTACAGGTTGGGCCATAGGAGATGTGCTAGCTTCTTATCACCTTACAAGGCATCATTTTTATTACATTAAATTTAACTGTTTCAACAATTTGTTTAACTTTTTCACTTTTATTCAAAATCACAACCATCTTTATACTTCAATTCATTATGTTTGGCATGATTATTGACTCACCTTTAATTACACACCATTTTGAGTTAATTTTTAATCTATTTCTTTATTTTATTAATTGACAGCTTTTCCCAATCTAATATTCAAACTCAGATATACAGACTTGTTGAAACAACAATAAAAAATGAAACAAAAGCACAGTCTTATTATTAGGCCAGTAACTCGTATTAAGGTCTTGCTTTTTTGCATGTTGGCTAAAATTAGCCTTTCAATGTAGATTCATTCATTCACTCAACACAATCAGTCCAATAAAATGTAATTTGACTTACTTTTCAAATGGTTAATAAAAAGGTCCATCAAAAGTATACAAATATCTGACGATTTAAACATTTTGAATTTAGACCAAATCAATAAAAAAGCCATTAAAAATTGATTGTCCAATTTTTTCAGGGAAAGGTTTATTCGTTTTGCTTATGCTTCTCATTATTGTTTAGCAAATTAATCAATCTAGTTATCATTTAGGATTGCTGATATATTTTCAATTATCAATTTTAACGAGTAAAAATCAAATTTGCTTTCAAATCAATTCATAATTGAAAATTGCGCTCTTTCATTACAATTTTTTCATTTGCTGGCCTGACATCAAGATGTGAGGAAAGCAAGTAACATTTTGTTGTTGCTTGATTAAAATGATTATTATCAAAATTAATCACGTATTCTTCTGCGTTTTGATTTAATCTAAACCTTAATTTTTGTTTGTGTTGTCATTTATTAAAGTTCATTGATCAGTTATCATCATATCTCAAGTTTTATCCACCAAAAAGGAGACTTATTGCTATGGTTTACAGTCAACAAGGATACCAAAAACATAGAAATGAATGTCCGATGTTATTTGAGTTATTCTTGAGGAATTCAATAATGATCATGTTAATGGTTTCAAATTGTTCACCATCAGATTATTGGGAAAGATTTGTTGAAAGGAAATCTCAAGCCAGTTAATCAACTAATCCAATTGCCATTAGAAAGTAACTTGATAGAAATATAAAGCCAAGCTCGCCGGTAACAAGAGTTAACATAAGATGGTTTGCAAATTTAATTAAAATTGCTGATTAGTCTCTGTATGTGATTTTATAACATGTAGATATCATTAATAAAAACAATTATCTACAGTGGTTTAATTGATTAATGGTTGAAGCCTAAACAATGTATGAGAAAATTTCCAACGCAAACATGGCAAACATACGCTGATTGGTGATACAATTTAAACAAAACAATGGACTTGATATTGGATGCCAGGCCTGATAGCTGATCATTGGCTTGGACAAAAGTAACATGATAGAAAAGATATTCTGTAATCTGAACATTTCTAATTGTTGCAGCTAACATTTGTCGGCCAATTTTTGCTTAAACTAAATGATCGTTTGGTAGTTAACCAAAAAATGTAATCAAACCAAATGGTTATCATGTTGATGGTGAAATAAGAAGACAAATTAACATAATCAAAAAGCATTTTGCCTCCATTTAATTGAAATTTATTACCACACTCAAGCATTTTGCCTTGAAAAAGCACATACATATACATGGTATCTCATATTAATCCATTTTACATTAACAACCACTAAATCAATTTCAATCTTCAACTCATCAGATGAACATGTTTTTTTTAACTGTTACATTTACAGTAACTGATGATTGGCATGGATAAAATGTTCAACTCAAATTGATACAAGTATTTATAATTGCTTTCCTCCAAATCGTTTATTCATTGTTATTTGTAGCAAATGTTCATTTCAAGTGTTTATTCTGTCTGTGAGTTCATTTTAATCTTCATCGCTGTTCATCTTCATGATTATTCAACTCTCTGTGTGTCCATTAATAATTTTTAAAATGATAAATTGTCCCTGGAATGTAAATCCGGACAAGAAGAGTCTAAATGATGAAATGATAATAATGATAAGACACAAAAACTCTCAGCAGGATAATTTAGGAGTCTCTGAGCTACAAACTACTCAAGGTTCATCTCATGCTGATTAAATGATCTCAGGTCAACCAGATAAGATGATGGTACACAAAAGATGATTACGATCATGGTCAGGATTATTATAGTGATGATGAGCATCGATTACAATTTACGTTGGGTGTTCAGATTAGAGGGAGGCAAATAGTTCAATTGATCTGGCTGATAATCATCTAACGTTTAACATTATTTTATTTTCAACTCTAACCAGTTGATTTGGATTGATTGTAATCAGGAAAAATGATATACCAAAAAGTGGGTCCATTTGAAGAAAAGGCAAATTGCTATTCAAATATTGCAATTACTCATTGATTATTGTTTTTTTTGTAGATATAAATTAACACTTAAAGGTTTAGTTTGCCATTTATCATTGCTTCAATGGTAAATAGCGGAAATCATTGTTTATAATTCATAAATTATTACCTTACAATACCAATTGCAAAGTTGAATTTCAATATCAATCTTAGGCTCTAGTCTTAATTTAGTGGAAATTTTTCTTCATACGATTCAAATTGAGCAAGAAAAAAACTAGATTTGAATCAATATTAATGGAGCCATCATGAGCATCATTTGATTTTTAATCTCAATTGAATCTAATCAGGTAAAAGTAAATGAAAAAAGCACATTGGAGCCTCTTTTGGGTCAAATGGATGTGATTTTTTATTCTTGCTTTTTTGCATTTTCAATTCCAAATGAAATTGGCTCGATCGTTGACTCTTTTTTTTTGGTGAATGTTTGCATGTTCCAATATACCATTAGCTATAATAACAAAATAATTTTAATGTTTTAATTATTGGGCAGACTAATAGAGTGAGAGGAAGAAAGTAGAAAAATTAGTCAAGATTAAGGTAAGATAATCACATCAAATGTTGAACACTTTGATTAGTTTGATGGTTTTGTTGTCGTTGATGTAGCTGTGCATTACCATTCAGTTGATTTATGTAGATAGCGATGTACTTTTCTTGTCCGTTACAGTTGATTTTGTCAGCCTTGATATTCACTATTGATCTCTTGCTGGGCTTAAATTGAAAAAAAGATATTGATAATGGACACTCTTTGGTCTACTTCTGCATTCATGTTGACCAACAAATCAGCTAAAAAAGAACCTTAAGACAAAATAAATCAGAAAGAGTTTATCAGTAGGGATGTTGCCAAAAAAATTTGCTTTCCTCAATATTTTTCCTTCTTTTTCTGCCTTCCATCTTGTTGTTTATGTACTTTATGTACTTTGGGTAAACTTCTCACTTCCAGTAAATTATCATTATTATTATTCACCAAATCCAATCCTAAAAAAGTGTCAATTACACAGATAGAGTGCAAAACGTTTCTTTTGTTCATTGTATGTTCAAATGATGAAAAAGCCATCAAGATAACACAAAACTTCTGATGACCAGCTATCAATGTTGTTTGGTCTGAATATCATCAACATTTTGACCGTATTCATCAGTCTAACAATGATTTCCGTGATTTCATCTTTTTATTAGGATCCAATTTAATGAGCACAGCAATAGCATTTCCATTTGTCTAAAATAATTAAGAAAAGACAAGAAAAATTAGAAGAAATACAGTTAATTAATACCTTCATATTTGCAATGGGTCACGAAATTATCAAAATGTTTTATTACATTCCTGAACCAGGCCCAAAACACCTAAAATAATACGTGATAATAAATAATACATACCAATATATAAATTTTTGACCTAAGCCTTGCTATATTGTTCCTTTTCTTTGCCTTCACCTTGCCATACCTGCTTCACCTCCTTCTTGGATCATTTTTTTGGGCTGTTTCTTCCTCTTTCCCTATGTTTCACCATTCATTCCTTCTTTTTATTTGATGTGGAGTTGCCTAAAAAGGAGATGACCAAGGATGAGAAAAGACGATGAAGTGATGATGAGAATGATGAGCAAATAAACAAACAACATGCCAAAGATAAATGAGAGCTTTAACAGGAGCTTATTGAGCCATTTGGTTGATCAAGATGAAGGGTAAATTCAATTATGTGGGTACTCAAATAGTAAGCTAAGAAAATGATGTGATCAACTGTTAAATTGAATAAACACAAAGCACAACTCACCTTCTTTGAGCCTAAACTCGCCAAACCTCTTTGAGCTTTATTCCTCCACAACCCTTGCTGGTAAAATAAATCACTAGATAATTGTTGTTCCAAGGAAACCTAAAAGGACGATCGCAGTTAAAATAAATTAAAACCTAGAAGTTATTATGATAACAGAAAAGGTAAGAAAATTGTTGCGTCTTACAAGCAACTATTGTTTCTACGCTACAAGCCTTTCCCGCTTAAAAGCAGCTGGCAATCCAGAAGCGCAATACTTGAATTAAATAATCACAAATTGTTTTGATGTAACTTTACATATAAATTTGAATCAATCAATAACAGTGTTCTGTTAATGTTTAATCTAACCATAAAAACATTGAGTTGATACAAAAAGGTTAGGTTAAAGTTGATATTCAATCAAGAGCAAATACATTAATACATTGTACGATGTACTTGGCTACTCTCTGTTAATCAATAAATAATATTTTATACATATTGATGTAAACAATTTACTTTAATACAAGTTTTGTTTGTTTTAACAGTAATTTATTAATGAAAAAACAGCAAAAACTTTACTCTTCTGGTGCTGGTTATATTAAATGGCTTTTTTTGAAGATATTTCTTGGAGAAACAATTTAATTTCAATTTACAAACAGTTGTGAAAAAAGGTTAATAGAGTGATTTATGGTAAACGTGAAAATCTTGTGATGTCGATCCATTGAAGTTTAGTAATATTACTATTTAACATGATAATTTGATAATCAGTCAAGATTTACAATGTTTTAGAGTAAACAAGAAATGATTGAATAAGAAGAAACTGAGATTAGTAGAGAAGGTAAATCATTGAGGAAAAAGTAATAATTACCATAATTAGATTCAGATTTAACTTTAATGAACCCATGAAATGAAGGTAACTGGAAATAACAAATTGACAAACAGAACCAAATTGTTCACGGTAATCACAATTAACAAGTTTTGTCACCAAATTAAAGTACATTAACATTAACAAGTTATTATTACCTTGCACTTGAGGTATACTCAAGCAAGGTTGTATAAAACCCGAGAATTCAGGTAAACATATCACAGAATATCAATTGTAGATGAAATTGATGATTAGTATCACAGTGTCATTACACCTAATTTTAAGCTAAATCAAATCCGAAGATGACAATAAAAATTTCCAGCTGTTGGCGGATTCAAATTGAAAAGATACAATCTTTTGATACTTGATCTTAACTGGAAGTAACTAGTATCTTGCAAGGCGCATTAGTTAAAATTGATAATTTACATGATAAATTGTTATTAAACAAAAAGTTGTTAACTTGATTAAATCCTGATTGATGTGAATTATTGAAGGGTAGCAGTTTACTTAACCTAACGACAGTGAATTAGGTCGATTCAAAATAAATGTTCATGAAGTGTAGTTTACTTTATTTAAAAAATATTCACCTCAAATAATGGATCATTAGAGGGTCAAAGAGCAGCTAAACTATAGTTAATTGAAAGTTAAATGCTTATCATTGAATAAATGAAATTTTGTTGTGAAATCGTTCGAAACAAACGATTGCTCTTGTTATCAACTTAAATAATTTGAAAAGTAAACAGTGGATTCGCCAAGAATAGGCTGATCATGATGCTGAATAAATAGATGCTAAATAGAGTCTCAACTGATTGTGATGACAAAAAGACGAAATCAAACAGCTGGGAGACAACTTGGCGAAATTTTGTCTTATTGATTACATCGATGTTTTGATAAAATGAGTAGTTTGAAATTTTTATATTTGAAGAAATATAAGAATCGTTGAACGATAAAACGATGCCCATTCAAATGCTGCTGATTCTTGGACCTTAAAACCTATGAAAACATCATCCAGGTGTCTTCTGATTCCCGCATCTTATATTGCAGCCAGAATTTGAGCCTCTGAATGATAACATTCCAAAACGAAAGGATAAAAATAATCTTGCTAGATGAGTAGTTATGCTGTTGGTTGAAACTACAAATCAAACGAGATTTTTCTTAAATACGAGCTCCAAATAATTGATACATTGATAAGTTCAGTGTCTGTTTCATCAACTGCAATCCAATCAGATAAACGATTTATCGCATTTTAAATCTTAGGTGATAACTATGATGATTTGTGTGAAGGATGAATGGAGCAAAATGATGCTCATAAAGCTGACAATTGTGAGATGCGATTAGACCGACCACATCTTTTTTTGTAAATGTCCAAGATGACAACTTATATTTTATTTTTGTTATTTTTTCTGTTTATAATTACCAATGTTTGTAACACCGGTTTTTGTCAAATAATTCAGCGAAATTTAATTCGTTAAGAAAAGTAAAACAAAAAGTGAGCTTACGTTTCCCTTTGATAGACTTAATACCTGGAAAATGTTGCAAAAAGAGAGAGGAATTGAACAATTTTCAATGATTAGTAGAATTAGCAATTTATGTTTAGAAATCGAATTACCTTTTGTTTTCAAAACATTCAAATCGACAGTTTTCTTGTCGTTAAATTTTGTTTAAATTCAATCTGATTTGGATGTGATTTCTTTGCCTAATCATGAAATTCTAGATGAAAAATGACTTTTGTTGAATCACAATAAGAAATTATTCCACTTTGATCATGGCTGATATCATTGTTTTCAAGCAGTTCATCATTTTGACTCCAATTTCATTGATGAATACCGATCAATGTTGAGGATCCTTCATGAATAGTTTTCAAATTTATTGATAATGATGATGGTTATGAAGACGATCATATATTAGTATAATTTACACCGCTGATAAGTATGGAGTACATGGATGAAGGGAATAACTGGTGATCCAATCCGATTAAATCGCGGCTATTCTGATTCCTCAATGAAACTATTGATAAACTCCATAACCTTCAAGATAACCTCCTAATTCCTTAATTGCTTGATAGACTGTTAATAACATCCAAGATGACTTTGTCTAATGGCAGTTGCAAGGTGATAGGAAAATGTTAAGATTTTCATCATCATGGCCATTTACGAGTAAAATAACTACAAGAGGAAGAGGAAGATAATCATGTTAATGATATTGAAAGGATGCATGGAAAAGGTAAACAAGATTTAGAGGAAAAAGAAGAAAAGAAAGGGATGAAGATGCGAGAAAATGTGAGGTCGACTTGCGTTTCTATTTTACTTCATTCACTGTCAGATTCAAAATGGAAGTTCCAAAATAATTACAATTCAAAGAGCATAACGAATCGAAAGTAATGGATCCAAGAAGATGAACAACCAGGAGCATCAATGAAGGGATGATGATCTAAGAAGAAGAGAAGAGAAAAGATGAATGAAAGATTATAAAACAAGCAAAATGTAAACAAATAACAATGATGTTGAATCTACATCTAAAAATAAACATGGATGTAAACATGGAACAAATTATCAACAAATGTTGATAATTTATTACAATCACTGGATTCACTTTGAGTTTACCAGTTAATATTCGCATTATCAATGAAATTATTTCTTCTATTGCTAAATAATATCTTAATAACCATCAGTTACTCATATAAATGATTAAAAAAAGGCTAACCCTTTGCTAGAAAATGATTCAACAAATGGTTTCTATCAGCTTCTTATTCTCATTGTTGTGGGTCAACACATAAAAAAAGGTTAATCTTTGTTTTTTTACTCACTTTTAATGGAACACGTTGAAATTAAATGGTTCTGATCAATCAAATTAAATGTAATCATGAGTATGATTTAACCTTTGATGGTTTACAAAATAATATAATGATGATCAGGATGATAGGTTAAGGTGTTGAACCTACCATGAGCAACAAACAGTCAATCATTGATTGTCAATCAACTTATTTGAATGTTAAATTGTCTTGGATGAAAAAAAACAGTAAGATGATCAAGTAAAAGCCTTTTGTCTTCACTTCAATTCCCATTCATCCTTTCTGTTTTTTTTTCATCCTCATCTTCACCTCCTTCAATAAATTCAGCATCACCATCATATTTACCTCTTGACTCTATTTTTCAATTCAACTCCTTCTCAACCTTTACCATCTTGACCAAGTATCTTCTTCATCTTTACCTGAAAATATTTCATGATACTGATACAAGTTTTCAACAATTTGTTAAATAATCGGTTCATCAAAGAGGATTCAATTGAAGAGGCTCACAATTGTTGGTGAAAAATGAAACAAAAAAAGAGACGAAGATGAAGATGAAAAAAGATGCAAAAGACTCTCAGATGCAAAAGATCACCCAAAATTTGATGAAAGTTATTATTGACTAACAATTTAACTTTGAATGGTCAAGTAAATGTTTACTTAAAGCCTCTATTTCTCATCCAGCCTACATCATCTTTCATTTTTTTTAAAATCATCTTCTTCGTCTTTCATCGTTTTATCCTCTTTTTTGCTTTCTTTCTCATCCTTTCTTCCTTCCTCTTTACTTGTTTTCCAATGATTACCGGTTTTGAGGCGGGCTTTGGTCATCTTCTTCGGTCTAGGCTGATCAGGTAAAAATGGATGGTGATGAACTGAAAGAAAATTAAGTGAGTGTGAGAGAGAAAGAAAGATGAAAATGATGGTGATGGAAATGATGAAGGCAAGAGAGTAACATTAACTAGACCGGTCTTAAGAAAGTAACTAGAAAAAAAGCTTTTCTTCATCTTCTTCCTCTTGATCGTTTTCTTACCTTTTTTACCTTTGCTTACCTCTCTTCAACTTGTCAGTATAAACTATTCATTGGAAAGCTCAACAATATCTTCACCACATATCTCAACTGACCTGACATTACTATCAAAACTGCAAGAAAATCAGAAGAGTGAGAGAGAGAGAGAAAGAGAGAAAGAAGGAGAGAGGGAAGATAAGTTGAAATAAGATTCAGAATAAGGCGATTCTTTACTTATTATTATGATTACTTGTCTTGTTGTTTAAACTTACCTTATTGTTATTGTTTCAGTCTGTTGTTATCGTCTCGAAACATTTTTCAAGATTCATTGAAAAAGCTGTCCAGTACAAGATGTACATCTATTTGTGTAGAGACCAAAGTTAAGTATTTATTAGGACAAGATCAACAAGCGTAATTTTAGTTGATTAGGCGACAAAATTTTAACACAAAAATATCACTTCAACAATCAACATTTGTTTCTACTTTTTTTTACTTTGCTTTACTTAACCGTCAGGATAAGATCAGATTAAGATGATGGCGAGTCGTCAAAAAAAGTCATCAACATTTTAACAGTTTTATATTTGTTTATTTACTAATGTTGCTCCTAAAAATTTGTTTGTGATTTAATTTGTGGTTCATTTTGGTGAGCTTTAAACTGTGTAAACTACCTGTAAAAACTTGTGTTGTTCATTCATTTACTTTAACTTTATCCTGTTCGTGGTTACTCATCTTATCTCAACGATTTTTGAATCCTGTTTTGTTTGTTGTTTTGTTGACTCTGTGATAAAAAACCAAATATATTTTGTGCTGTTATACTGACCAACAAATTTATTTTGACTTTTGTCAGGTGTAACTGATGAAACCATCGACTCTTGATGGACAGACATGGCTACTTTCGCCAAATTGTTCATCACTTGAAACTGGACTTTATCCTAATCATGCTAACCATCAAAATGGATACCTTGTGAGCTCAGTTTTATCCTCATCACCATCAACATTATCACCGAGATCAGTCTCTTCTTGTGCCTCCCTTACATCAGGATCACCATCAATAATAACAGCAACGGTTCCTGTCACAAAATCGGAAACTTTGAAATCCATTAGTAAACCAAAGTTTATCAGATCATCATCTCTTTCAGCTTCACCATCTTTTGGTGAATCAAACAGCTTCAATCATCATGCTCATCATCGTCAATTCAGCAACAATCAGGATTGTATTGTAACCCACTCACTTCCATCCTTTTGTTGGTGTAGTAAAAAAGATTGCCAAACCTTAACTGGAGGTGGATGCTGTGAGCTTGAATCAACTAGCTCTTGTAATCTGAACAGTGGATGGAAAAATAATTTCAACTGTATCACAACCACTCGGGATATTAAGAATAAAACGTTTTGTGAAAAGCAACAATCAGCTAACACCACTACTGCTACCATTGCTACTTCAATTCAATCCTTTTCATATGTTAATGTCAACCATAATAATGATGTAAATAGTGACAGTGATCAGTTTTTTCCCCGCATTTCGCCAACTCTGCCTTCACATGATTTAATTTCCACTGGTGTAGATTCAACGTTCATTTCAAGTGATTGTCCCATTTTACCAAGTGGATCAACTCTGTGCCTTCTTTTTTGTGAAACTACCAGTAATACCAAAACCAGGGATAATTATTATATTAAGAAACAGCAAAATCAGGAAAACATTAACAACAACCGATGTCATAATATTAATTTTGTAAGTGCGCAGGAAAATCAGTGTTTACCATGGCATAGATCAAGCTGTTTCTTTTCATCTTGCTCAACATTAACAGCAGAAGAAGCAGCAACAGCAAACGAATCTTCATCACCTTGCTGTGATGCCAATTTTAACCATTCTAATTATAAACAAGCCAACCATGATGGAGATAAAGATGATTGTGTTGATGAAGACGACGATGAAGATGGAGATGAGAAGAAGAAAAAGGGTGATGGTTTTGATGAAAGTAGCTGTAAAAGAAGAGCAGAAAGTAAAAAGAGTTGCGATGTTGATTCAGTTCATATCTGCAGTGATAATGTTGATGATAATGAGTACAATTTCAACAGAGGAATTAAAGTTAACTCTAAATCAAAATTCAATAATTACCTCAACAATGGACGGTGTCTTTCCTATCCAGGATTGAATAGTTGTGTTTCTTGTGACGACAGTAAAAATCCTAATATTACCAGAACTTGTAATGATCATCTTGATGATATCACTTCATTGATTAAAGCCAGTTCCAGTAGGATTTGTAAAAGTTGGCCAACACTAGCAGCAAGTTTATTGAATGTTAATCAGCTTGAAAGCCATCAGCAACCATCAAATTCAATTAATAATCAGTGTGACATTTTTAGTAAAGATGATCTTCAACACAGTTGGATTGAGCTCTGTAAAACTCTTGAAAGTATTTCAAGTGAGTTAAAACATTTTCAAGACAAATTGGAAGATTCAAATTACAATTTAAGTGACTTAAGTGATCTTTGGTCAACACTTTCATCAATTGACCAATTTAAACATCAAAAAGAAAATAATAATAATAATTATCATAACCACACCAATTTAACTAAAGTAAACAATTACATTAACAACAACAATCATATCAACAGTTTTCTTGATGAAGTCAATTGGACATTTTTTGAGAGTGCAGAGGATGTTACTAAATTACAATCATCAGTTGAGACAATTAATTCAGTGGCTAATTGTACTAGTTGTAGTGATGAAGTAATGAACTTCACCATCAATGGACAAGATCGCAAAAGGGATACCAAATTTGGTAAACCACCAATTAACCATCATTCATCAACATCTTCATTAGTTAATAAATGTAAAATTAATCTGGTTAGAGGTGAAAAAGCTAATACCAAAGATGAGTCAAATGTACCTCGACCAGTTTTACATCCAGTTCAAATTGATTGTAAGCACAATAAAGAGTTATCACAACAGCAGCTATTAACAAAATCTAATCAACACAATGATCAACATCATCAACAACGAGATACAGTTTATGTGAAACCTCGACGTCGAGATATTTCAAAAGCCAAGCGCGATTTGAAACAGTTAAGTGAATCTTCAAATGCCAATAATGGATTAAATACAACTGATCAAGCCGAGTTAGAACGAATCAGGCTTTTATTATCAAATCTTGATAGTACTAAATATCGAACACGATCAGGTAGTAGATCTCGAGCTTCATCTGTAAGTGATTCAAATCGATCCAGTTTAAATACAAATCCGCCATCAACAACACCTTCAACTGTATCCAGCCAGACAAATCACAAATTGAAAACAGTGCGACAGTTGAGTGATTTAACCAACTCTGATGTTAATCCAGCATTCCCACCAATACCATTGTTGACAAATGTTGAGGTACAATCAACCCCATTTGGTACTATCCGGAAATTTCGTCGTTCATTATCAGCAGCTCCATTATTAATAACCAAAGAATCCACCAAAGTATCATCACCATCTTTACCACCAACTGCGCCATTGTTTCCTAGACGTTCAGGCCATCCAAAATTAAGGGAATTAACGAACAGAAATTTGTTTTCCAAATCTTGTGATGTTGATAGTTACAACAGTAACCATAATGTTAGCTTGAATAACACTGTTACAGCCCATGATAATCATAATAATCACAGCAATAGCAATAGTGTAAGAAGCAATAGATTTGGGTTTAACACTAAAACAGTTTCCGGATTAGTTAAAAAGCAAAAATTAACCGCTGGTTCAGTTAATGATAATCATGATGAGGAGAAACAGAAGAGGAAAGAGATAAATGTAGATGCTCTTGTTGTTGCTGCTGCTGCTCAAGATGATGACGATGATGACAAGTGTATTGTTGATGGAGTCAAGACGACAATTCGAGCTAAATCAGTGGATAGAGTAGTTTTACTTAGAGAAAATAAAAGGAAAGATTCAAGGAATAAAAATAGTATTGGGAGAGGTTCACTGATGATGATGGCCTCTCCATCAGCCTCTTCACCGACATCTCGATCTTCATCGCCATCCACAGTTAATTTAGCCACAGTATCATCATCAATGGAATCAAGTCAAGTTGATGAACTTGCTATTGACAAATGTTCTTCTAAGCTCGATTCAACGTTGATTCGTTCATTATCAATTTCATCTTCCAACACTAAACAAAGTGACAATCAAGTAAAATCAAAAATGGATCTTAGAAGAAGTACATCATTGATAATTATGCCAAATCGATTGGATCCAGTTGTTGAAGAGGAAACAACATCTAATGATGGAAATAACAATGTCAATGATAATACTGATACACAGCATGGTGGAATCGCCAAGTTGCAACCTCCAGCGAAAAAAGACCCATCCAAAGAAAATCAATGTTCAACTTTACCTAGACGAAATTGTCATCAAACAAGTGATTCAATAAAATATAATCAGCTGAAAGATCGCTTAAAACCTTCTTGGATTAAAGGTAAAAGTGATAAAATGAAAGACCAACAAGTAAAGCCAATTACATCTATACCACCACCACCGCCTCCACCGCCACCACCACCTCCACTACCACCATCAACAGTGCCAGCTTCAATGCAACGACAATTAGATTTTAATTGCGATGACGGAACAACACCGTCTGACAGTGAATCGCTATCAACAGCATCAGAAACTTTGCCTAGTTTAGGTAGTTGTCTCAACCTTGGTGAACCCAGTGGATCTGGTTCAGTTGCGTACCGTCGTGCCCCTAAACTATCCTGTACTAGTCCATTTCGTCAGAATCAATCCATTGATCTAGGAGAGTTAAGGTCACATCGATTGTCTCATTCTTCATTAGATGAATTACCACCGCCATACTCTTCTTCATCCTCATTAACACCTAAAGTTGATACAGAGGAGAGAGAAGGCCTAGAGGCAGATAACTTATTGGAATACAATGACAACAATAATAATAACAGTAATAACAGCAATGTGGATGAGGGTGCTAATTGTCAGTTGAAAGGTAAAACTGGAGATAATTCGTGTCATGTTAATGACTCACGAATAACCATTTTACCAGAGAAAAGGTTTCGACGTAAAGGTCATATTTTAATGGGTGATCAACATCCAATGTCGGTTCAAAATGTAATTACTAGAGAGCAAAAGGGAACCCAGGCAATTACAGGTCAAACTTTTTCACCTTCGCGTAAATCATCTTTGCCCGAGGGAAGGGTCTCTTGTTCTAGCGAGTCTCTTTTAGAAAGTGAAGAAATAGAAGATCAAAGACCCCAGCAAATAGATTACAGTGAAGATGATGATGGGTCAGCCTTGAAGGACCAAAAGACTGAAGCCCAGCGGTCTTCAAGTGACCAGGAACAACAAGGTGAACAGAAAAGTGAACAACATCGTGATCGTGATTACAGACCAAGTGTTCATAGGAGAACAGTTTCTGCCGTATTACCTTTGGGACAAATTGATGATGATAATGATTCGTCTGATAGAGAGTTAATTAAAAGAAATGCCAGTGGAGGCGGATCAGATTCAATTAAAGATGAAGGTTCATCAATTAATTATTTATCCTCTAACCAAAGTCCAATTCGTGAAAAATATCGGAATATTGAAAGACACCATTCAGACACAACCGGTCGGCTAGGAAGTGAATCAGTTAATATTGTTGATTTAATTAGATCAGCCAAAGCATCGGTTGGTTCAACTGATTTTAAAGAGGATTCATCAAGTAAACTTGATGATAATTTAATGTCAACATCAGCAACAGCATCAACAGTAGGTGGAAGCTCATCTGATATCAATTCACGTCGATTATCATCATCAACCAAGAGGGCAAGTTCATCAACATCCCAATTAAATGTATCCTCATCAATTGGATCTCTTGCTGGTGGTAGCGGCAGTAGCGGAGCGGGTCAATATTCAAATTCATCTCTTGATTATTCCGAAAGTTCAACGTTAACTTATCCTGGAGGTCTTTTAATGGGTTCAAGAGGTTCTCCTTTGGGTCAAACTTTGGGTGGTAGTTCAGTTGGTCCTCCAAGCACTCCAAGTACTCCAAGTGTCTCTGGTTCATCGTCTTTAACGAGACCTCGATATACCAAAAAACCTTTGCGAGGACCTTATGGTGAAATGTTGGAAAAAGAGATTAGAAAATCTTCAATGTCAGAGAAGCAAAGATCATTGTATGCTGATTTGGCCTTTCTTAATGATCTACTCGAGGCCAATAAACGACGATCAAAAGATTCAACAAGTGATTTTGGTGGGTCAAACTTTAAAGGTTCAGATTCTGAGATATCATCTGAACGAAAAAGTGGACTTTCTAATTGTTCATCACTTGATGATTCGACCAAACGAACCTCGGATATCATGGGTAAGCTTGATAATGCAATCATTATTATTATCTAAACAACATTATCAATCATTTTGATGCATAAAAATAATAGTAATGATAATAAAAAATGATAATCAGTATAATATTAATATGTACTAATAAATCAAGCTCAATCAGTCATAACTTACGATTTAATACAATTATCATTCATTATTGTGTGAGGTTAATGTAAAACTGAGCAAAAAAATCCTAGCAAAGTGAAATTGAAAACACTTAACCTTTAATTATAATATACATAATAATATTGTTAATGATGATGATAATGATTTTCATTTCATCTAAATAAGTCAAAAAGAGGTAAACACAAATCATAATGATACCTTTACAAGAAACCTGCAGCATTGAAATGAAACCATTGGATGATTCAATTGATGAATCAATTAGCAGAAAGTCATTCATTTAATAATATTATTATTAAATAATAATCAAGATTTATACTTTTACTTAATGATATTTGATACTCCCAAATCATTTGATAGGGCTGATAATGACAAGGCAAGTTTTGAATAAAAAAATGGTTAACTCTAAATAAGAGTGAGAAATTGCCATTTATGAATATTATTATGATTATTTAGCTAGTTATCTTAGTTGGTAGTACAATTACCTGAAGCCAAATTTTCATTTGGTAAGCTCATAATTAAGGTGTGCATTGAGTTAGTTAACAGTCACTAGGCTTGTCTTTCGCTCTCCTTCATATCTTGTGCGAGTATTAGTTTCAAATATTGAATTGGTGATACTGGTTTGAATATGATTGATGACAACTTTTCCTGAAAATCAGCCGAAATGTCATCTCTCCAAAAAAAACAAAAATCTGCTTTTCATCTTTATCTCATGATACTTGTTGATTATAACTGTTGCCTTGAGAAAGCTGATCAATACTGAAAAACGAAAGAGTGAAAAAATGAAATATTTCAAATCACTATCATGATGCCTTGAGATGAATGATGAATTTAAACTATAAGTATTCCAATCCCGTTTCATCTTTACCATCAACACCATCCTAAAAGTGTTTATTTTTTATCCAAAAGAAAGCCACTGATATCAGAATTTTCTTGTGGAAAGTGTGCATGGGTTTTGGTTACAGAGACGGTCTAAAACCAGATTTATGATCAACAACCATGACCACAATTTAACCATGTAAACGTCTCAATAGAAGATAAATGAGATAACTTTGAGTAAAGTTCAATTTGTCTTGAGTTTTGAGTTCAATGAGATGTTGGTGTTTCCGTTACCATCACTGGATCCTTTTTTGATTTATAACAGGTATGAATGGCAATCATAATGATTAACTTGAAGTTCTTATTGATCTCTGTATCTGTTGAGAGAGAAATGTAAAAAATATTTTAAGTGTAATTGTTACATTAAAAGTTAATAAATGTGTTCAACATTTAACTTTAATTAAGTTTATTTTGTATCTACCGATAGTTATTAAAATGAAAACATCTTACCTCTACTTGATATATTAGAGTGGGAGTTGGGTTTGGTTTAGTTGATGGTCATAATGTTGATGTGATTTACCAATGAAGTTACTAGCAATACACACACACACATAAATATAAATATACATATTGAGAAGATCATTAAAATAATATGATTCACATGAAATTAAAAAGGTTGATGATGATAACTTATTTTAATCTGTCTGTGTGTAGGTTAAAAAAGCTATTGCTGTTAGCTTGTAAGAGACTAGCTATAATTAACAACCCAAGATGGTACCTTTTTAATTTCAAAAGAATCACAGTTATTATATACACTTTTTTTAATAACTTATAGATGTGTTAAATGTAGCAATTCAACTTCAACAGCTTATCAAAACAAGTAAACTAAATGGTAATTTATCCTTTCACATAAAAGCAATTAACTAATCAACTGATCATTGGTACTGTCCATTTTCACCACCAGTTAACATTTGAGTGAGCGGGAAATGGTAAGACAACAGCAAAAGCAAATCAAGAAGCGCCAATTTTGTAATTCAGATGAGATTTGTTGATTATTAAATTTACATCATTTAATTAGATAATGAAAGCTTCCAATTGTTATACATTATCATTACAATTACCTTTATGTTTGATCCAAATTGGATGGGCATAAATAACGATTATATCTAAATAATGATGATAAGATGGACACGAAATGTTATCCAATTCAGGCTGAATTTCAAGTTGAATCAGCTGGATGAAAAAAAAGAGGTAATGATTAAGTTGATTGTCAATGAAAAGGTTAAGATGATAATGATGGAGGATTAAACAGATAATCAACTACAAAAACACGGTTAACATTTTGTTAAATGTTAATCAACATCTCGTGATATTTGTTCATCTTCAATCATCTTTACCATCTTCATTACTAATCTCACCATCAAACTATTAATTTATCAATTTTTTTACCTTTTCTCCTTCATCATCATAATCATCATAATAATAATCATCATCCAGCAATCAACTAATAACCAATTATACTCATTATTTATCTGAATCTTAAATTAATCTTCTTAATATCATTGAGCTTCTCATCCTTTATTTCAAGTTTTTCAATATCAAATGTATTTTTTTTTGTTTCTCACAAGCTTACAATTAATAATAGTTTAACGTTCTCAATCAAACCAATCAACATTTAAGCAATGAAGGATTAAAATGTTGGAACAATCAAGATCATCTCAACATCGATCAAGAATCATCGCCACAATAATCAACAATAAAAAATCAATTGTGTTTAGTGAAGAGTCAAGCTGAGTTAGGCCTTAAAATAGGAAACCCAGTGTTGGTACTATTTTTTGTTGTATGTTAAAAGGATACTTTTTGTTTTTATTACCCAAAATTGTTCACAATTTAAGATTAAATTAAGGTTAATTATCGTGACACTTAAAATAGACTGACCTGTGATTAGGAATCATTCACATTACATCTAGAAATTTAAAATTGTGATGATCAAAATTTGGTTAATTGTGGTTCCCTGCCAGACTTGAACATGCAATGTTTACCAACAGCCAACCAGTTTCACTTCTACCATAAATCTTACTAGACTTTTATAAATAAACCTTTTCTAAATTAATTTACAATTAAGTCACACATTTGGCAACCATTGAGCAAATCAACAATTGAAATCTTGAAGGTTTACCAGTTTATGAACAATCTTGAAACAATCTTTATTGATTAGCCTCCATTGAAATGATGCCCTCAACATTCCCATATTATCAAAGACTCATTGAATTTCTGGAGAATCGTTCATCTTTATAATTAAGATTAATTGATCATTATTTTGTAATTTAATGAGTTTAAATTGAAAATTTGATGGTTAACTCAATTATAAACAAATATTGAACCTATCCGCTTATAATGAAATGGTAGAGTCAGTTTGATGTTTCCCTAATGTTACCCATTTTTTTGCTGCTGTTTATATCGCTATTATTAAACCAACATACAATATATAAATCAATTTGGACAATTAGATTTATTTATCTTTTTAATTTTCCCTTTCTCGTTCCAATATAATATGATTTTTATGAAAATCAAGTCTATTTACAAATGAAAATTAGGCCTGGAAGGGAATTTAGTCTAAATAATTAAAAGGGTAACACTAAAAATAATACAGTCAGCAATTTATTTTTAATCTTAAACTTTCTCTTTGTTGGTGAAAAAATAATTTTGGTAAACCACCAAAAAAAGATGATGTTTTCATGATGAAGTAGGCAGTTGAGATGAACAATATAAAGCACACTTGATATCTGTAGATGTAATAGATTAACATTGTAACATTTGATTTATACCTAAAGGTATTACTGTACTGTAAGGTAAACCAATTAACTATTTATCAACAGTTTAACCGTTAAAATATAATAATGTTTTTTAATCGTAATCATTTGAACACAATTTAAAGATTAAACACTGTTATTATCGGGTAACATGTAATATGTATACAGATGGGAATGATAATTGAAAATGGTAAGGCCTCACATTATTGTAGCCATTATCATTATTAATTTAGATTGTGGTTAAATTGGGAGTAAAGATTTATGTTATCTTCTTACATTTTAATAGTTAACTGATGTTAATTTGATTATAATTTGAAAATATTGTTTCTAATGTTTGTTGTTGATCATTTTGTTAATGTAAATTTATTTACAATCCCTCAAGTAATCACCAATGGTAACCAATGATGCTATTGACTGTATTTTTTTGTTATGAAGACAGGGAAGAGAAAGAGAGAAATTGAGAGACATTTAGAAAGAGGGAGAGAAAGATAGAGATAAAGAGGAGGATGAGGATGAAAATGAAGTAAGAGAGAGAGAGAGAGAGAAAGTGATTTGACCTGAGTTGTGATGAAATGATATACAAATTGGTTGATCATTAGATTGTCATCAAGTTAACCAGTTTAGGTTAACTGTTATTGTTATTTTTTGCTTAACACCATCTACCGTTATAACAAATGTTGTCCATATAAGTGTTCATTGAAAGGTTCATATCACCATCTATTAAACATTAGTCATCTTGTACATCATCAACATAATCACTTTCAGTTTCAACATCAACATCAACTGTAACATCAACAACAGTAACATCTAATTCATAATCTTCATCTTCTAGTCAGTTTCTATATAATTTTGCTTTCTCATGTTACTTGTTTTTTAGGTTAAAAGTGATTTTGAAAACCTGTTGAAATTAACCTAAATATTAACCTATTGGTACAATTTGTTGTCCAGTTATTAACATGTAACTAAAAATCTGTCCACTAATCCAGGAATCAACGATTATTGTTATGACCATTGTTTTAATTTGATTGAATAACCATCAACGTTATCCATTTTTTAAGCAAAACCCGATTTTATTATTCCTCCAATGGTTAGATTTGTTTCTATTGGAACTATTGCAAGCTGATAATGTCAAATTTGGTTCATGTTGCTTCTAATTAAATAATATGTACATTAATCATCTGAGACCAATCAAGGGATAAAATTGATAAATTCTTGCCCGTTATTGTTGTTCAATTTGCTTTAACCTGCTTCTGTGTTGAAGCGTATCTTCAATTGTTTCATGTTTTTCCACCAAAGAAGATGATTTTATTAATCAATAGATTGATATTGATCAACAATGATTCTTTGGTATTGTAAAATTGTTGAGACAAAGGAGTGGAAGGAAAATCTATTCAATTTATAGTTTTCTTTTAACTGAAATGCTCAACTTTAATTATTCAAATGTATGGGAAGGTAACAAATCAAGATTGTCAACTGGATCATCCTCTGGTTTTTTAATAGCAACCCAAAATTATCATTACTATTATCATTTTTATTTCATTTCATCGCCTTCACATTCATCCATTGGTTCACATATTGCTTTGATACTAATCGTTTTTGTATTCACAGTATCCGAGATAAGTGATTTTGAAACCAATCCAAGTCCAGGTCGAGTGTCAACTCCATCAATTGATGTATCCGATTCACCTCATCATCATATCTCAACACAATCAGCTCATTCACAAAACAATTTAACCACACCGCAGTCACAGTTAAAACCCAAACAACAGCAACATCAACCCCATACTCATCAAAAACCTTCACGAAAACAGGCAATCTCATCTTCACCCTCTATCGCGACAGGTGACACTAGTTCAGTTAAATACCGTGATCCACTGATGAGCCAATTACCAGAAGCAGAAGAAGAATCTCTGCTCAATCAGATTTCAAGTGAACCAGAATCAACAGGACGATGGAATAAATCCAATCATAAAAGCTCCTCTGACCCTTTTAGGCGAAGCATCTTCGCCAAAAGGCACACCGTAAGTTTTCATTTCAATTTTTCACTTAAATCATTATCTAACACAAGTCTATGGATATCAAATTTTGATAAAGATTTGTGGTGAGCCTCCTGAAAATCAGAGGAAAGTCATTAATAACAGTTAATTAATTTACAACCATTTGCTTGTTTGACAGGTTAATTGGTAGGTTAAACAATTGCTTCTGAATTTATTATCTAATTGTGGATAAACATATATCATTGAGTTTCTTTAACTTATTGTTGTTTCTTTAATCGAGATATTCCATTGATTAATGATTTGTCCTGAACATTTCTAGTATTCTAGTTTAAGGAGTAAATGCAAAAAATCTGAATTTCGAGTTAAGAGTTTGGACTTTGTGGGTTTTTAGGAGTCCAATAGTGTTTTTGCTAAACAGTGCGCTAAAACAATAGTGCTATTCATCCGATTGACAGTTTTCAAGAAAATTAAGTCCAAAGTTGAAACTTCGAATACCTTTATTCAATTATGAAGCAGATTTTTTCATGAAACTCATTTTAATGAACCAAAGAAATGAAGGTAATGAAAATAACAAATTGACAAACAGAATCAAATTGATTACGGTAATAACAATTAACAAGTTTTGTCACCTTAAAATACATTAGCATTAAAAAACTATTATTACCTTGTATTAATACGCAAGGTTAACAAACAACTTTGTAGTCATTTAAAATAAAATCCGAAAATTCAGTGAAATATAAGCAAAATATCATTTATTTTGAAATTGATGATTATATTATTGTAGTTTCATTAAATCTAATTTGAATTCGATTTTTAATTTGATTTAAATCCGAAAATCATAATAAAAATTTCCAGCTGTTGGTGGATACAAATTGAGAAGATTCAAGCTTTTCAATACTTGATCTTCCCTAGATGCTACTAGCTTCTTGCAAGCAAAAACGCATTATAATTTACACGATACATGTAAATTGTTATTAGAAAAAGTTATCTTGACTAAATTATGAAACCTCGATGGCAAGATATTTCCATGCAAAAAAGCCATAAGTCGTTCCGCCACCTTACCGTCGACAGTCAGGCCATCCAAAATTAAGGGAATTAACGAACAGAAATTTGTTTTCCAAATCTTGTGATGTTGATGGTTACAACAGTAACCATAATGCTAGCTTGAACACTGTTACAGCTCATGATAATCATAATAATCACAGCAATAGCAATAGTGTAAGAAGCAATAGATTTGGGTTTGACACTAAAACAGTTTCCGGATTAGTTAAAAAGCAAAAATTAACCGCTGGTACAGTTAATGATAATTATGATGAGGAGAAACATAAGAGGAAAGAGATAAATGTAGATGCTCTTGTTGTTGCTGCTGCTGCTCAAGATGATGACGATGATGACAAGTGTATTGTTGATGGAGTCAAGACGACAATTCAAGCTAAATCAGTGGATAGAGTAGTTTTAACAGTAGGACAGAAAAGACTGACACACGGCAAAGTGAAATCGCCAAGTTACAACCTCAAGCGAAAAGAAGACCCAAGAAAATCAATGTTCAACTCTACCTAGACGAAATTGTCATCAGACAAGTGAAGCAATTAAATATTATCAGCTTGAAGTTCGCTATAAACCTTCTTGGGTTAAAGGCAAAAGTGATAAAATCAAAGACCAACAATTAAAGCCAATTAAATCTAATTACTCGCAACTCGAAAGTCAGATTTTTTGCATATACGCCTTTTGCATCCAATTTTAACTGAATAAATTAAACACAAATAGTTAATTTTTTTTCAGTGGTTATAAACGTTTATGAACCTTGTCAATTTATCTTTAAATTAATCATCATGTTTATGGTTAATGAAATTTTAACATCTCATGAAGATTAGCTGTCCATGTTAGTTGGATTGAATATTGATAAGGTTGGTAATAAATGGTAATCTTTATGAATGTAGTTTTTGACGGTTGAATTGTAATATTTAACTCCAAATATATACATAACAGGTAACACGTATTAATAGTTTACAACATCCTTTGGCTACATAAAAAGCCTTATACCAATTATTTAATTAAGTTTGTTGATTGGATTACACAATGAGAGGTTCATTATTAATTACTGAGGATGTACTTTAATGAACATATCCACAGCATTTCAACAGGAAGATTGGATTTGTTTGAAATGTATTGGTTTTATGTAGGCAGCAATTGATTCATTTTATTGCTGTAAATGATTGACAAATGATCCTTAATTGGTTAATTGATTGAACCAAATTAGGGAAAACGATTGTATAAACAGTTACCACTTTTTGTTGAAGACGATAAGAGACCTTACACACTGAAGTCATTAATTCAAAATTAGTTGTGTCCAAACGACTTGATCCATGATCTCTACAGGTAATGGGGTTCATCATCACCGTTGCCTGAATTGAAATGAAAAAAAACAAATGTTGAAATTGGATATCAAACCAAATTATGTGTCAAACGATATATTTGAACTTGTTCTTACCAATTCTTATCAAATTTTTACTTCTTTTTCCTCTCTTTGGTTACGTTTGTCTTTTGCTGAGCATTATATTGTTAACTTGAGAGTCCAATTATTATTATTATGAAAATAATGGAAAACAATGGAGCTTTACTTTACTTTGTTCAGGAATATTGTTACTCACTGAACTGATACCTTTTCTTGCTACGTTATTCTTCTTTTCATCTCCATCTTGAGCATGATATTTGCTCAAGTAACCTGATACCACATACATGTTGGTCGAATCCTAGAAAAGGGTCAATCTTTTGTTTTCTCTTATTGTTGTTCTTTTTATTCTTCTTCATCTCCTCTTTTTTGTCTTCACCATCAATCTCATTTGTCCTGCAGCATATTTTTCGAGTTGTGTGGCTCTTTTTTCCTCCTTTCCATATGTAGAACCATCAGGTATAAAATCTTCTTTCTCCTTTTTTCCCCTTTCAATTGATAGCATTCATGTTACAACTTTTTTCTTCCTAGATTGCCTTTCAAACCATGTTATTCAAATCATGGTCAAGCCTCGGGCCAATTCTTGTCTCATTTACACAATTCAATCTTGTTTGCTTTTCAATTACTCTCCAAGTAACAGTTCAAATCTAGTTAACCAAACTTTGAAAGCTATAAGGGAAGAGAAAAAGAAAGTTGATCAGATAAATGTTGAAATATTGACACTTCCAAAATTAAGATTAGGTATAATGGTCAATTGATTTCTAGGTTAAATACACTACCAGAAATGTAATTGCATTGGCAATACTCCAAAAGATGAATATAGATTGTAGCTGTATTCAATTTATGGTTAACACAATAAAAAATAAAACATAAACAGTTAAATCACTTATCCGATGATCGTTACTCGAACCCAAATTCAAACCTGATACTTCCTATGGATTCGTAGGATCCAAAATTTTACCAGTCACGATGTGGCTCCACCTGATGTTTTTAGAATAACTTAAATGCTTAACAAAGAAAATCGAAGGTAAACCGTTTTTTGAGATAGATTAATAAATTATGTTTTTTAAATTAATTATTAACTCTTCAAACTTGTCACTTTTCATTTTTAACTAACTCACTCAATGTAATTCAACAAGAGACTTTGCAAATTCATTTCCAGTCAAGTAAGTTGTGTTATAATAGATTTTAATTTCTTCATCTTCATTAATGTGCTTTATTGATTTATTTTTAAGGTTTTCTTTGTTTAAAGAGTTTCCAGGTCAGAATTGGCAACTAGTTTATATTGTAAATGTGAACCAAAGATGGATGTAAACCTCTCTGCAGTTTGGATGTTCAATTATGAGAAAGGAAACAAGAAAATCAGACCAAGAGATAGCCATAAGATTTACAATGAATCTGGATATAAAAAATAAAAGAAACCTTAACTCTTGATACGAAAAGAAGGATTCCCATTTCCACATATTTCATGGTTCTATTCAACAAGCTATAAAAGATGAAGGTGAAGCAAGAGGTGGAATAGGATAAAGAATAGGATAAAGAGAGGAAAAATTGTGTGTTCTCCTTTGTCATTACAATTGAATTAATAGTTTTACATTGAACGTTGTAAGATTATTTCCAGACGTGATCAACTTATTCTCAAAATTTCCAGCCATCCCTTATTATTATAGCCATCAACATCTCCAGCATTATTCGTTGTAATCTTTCCTCTACTCTTGCTCTAAATAGTAATTAACTAGCGATAGTTTATACTTTTGAGATTCATTCCTCAAAATACAGACTAACAGAATGATCATTACACCATTAACTGTTATTTGTTTCCAGTTGAAATGAAGCGATTCTGTTAGTTTCAGCCTCTCTAAGGCAGTGTTTATTGCATTCAACAAGTGATTGACAAAAATTATGAAAATTTTCACCAATCCATTAGAAATGCAATTTGAAAACTGTTGAATCAACAAAAGACAAAACATGAACATTTATCTTGTCCAGGCAAGAGCTTTGAGCAAACTGAAAATATTGACCATCCTGACTTTAATAAAATATAATAATGAAAAATAATCATTAATTATATTGATCATAATCACCATCTGAAAGTTGACAGGTAAAAAATTGAAATAATTTTGTTTGAGTTTCTTAATTTTTGCTTCTCGTTTCAGCTTAATTATAATATAGTATCGCTATAATTGTAATAATCAGTTGAAAAAAGGACTCCTAAATTATAGTGGTGAAAATATTATAAAATTTTGTGATTAACTATGAATTAATACAATCCGATTTATGTGGCAAGAAAAAAAACCAATAATAATAATGAACAGCATAATAATTCATCAAGTTAATACATAAATTGAGGCAACTTGAGAGGTAACCGAAAAGAAAAATTTGAAACCTAATTCAAATTGATTGCTGATTCTTTACTGTTAATTCAACTGTTAAATAGATTGAGGGGATAAAATGAAGATGATCAACTGATGATGGAAATGATGATGAAGAAAAGATTACAACTGCAAGTTTAAGGGATTCATTTTCAGTCGCTTGTCATATCATATTACTGACAATTGGATGCAAAATGTTGCTATCAAAAGTCTGTAATTTTCATCGTTTGTCACTCGTATGATGAAAATGATGATTAACCAGAGTATACTTTAATTCCTGAACAAGATTGAAGGATTAAGATGAATTTAAGATGAAGGAGGAAGAAGCTGAAGCTCAAGATGAAGATAATGGTTGAGATAATCATCGATATAAAGATTTGAAACAAGTGAAGATGAAAATGATAAACTGGTAAACATGATTTTCACTTTGATCATAAAAATTGATTGTTACCTTTACAACTTGACAATCTTTCCGAATGCTTCAGCCTTTTGAACCTCATGATTGAATTTAAGTGAATTTACTGTTGACCAATCAATCACAATTAACCAACACAATCCAAGTCAATAACTTGACCATTTTTCCAGCTTTCATAAAATCCTTTTTTTGAGGAGAAAAATGTTTTTCTTGTTTACTCCATTTAATTGTTGAGACTTTATATTTCATCTGACCATTAATACGGTTCATTTTGAGCTTCTTTACCCTGAGGATGTTTTTCAAGACGATAATTCTGTTGAACAAAGCATTGAACTTACAGTTAACTTGTAAAATTGTCCTCCACTTATCATGATTATCATAATTATAAGGCTTTTACCTTTTCATGTTTCCCTCTTTAATAACCAATTTAACATTGAAAATGACTGTTTAAGTGTATTTTACCTTATTTTGTCTCATAAAATAACCATTTTTATCCTCATTTTCAATTGAAAAACATTTGATGAAAGCAAATTCAATCAACTGACAATTATCAATTCAACAAAGTCAACAAATTATCGGCAATGCTTTAAAGCAGCTTTTCAATTTTCTTGATGAAACCGTTAAATTGTTAATGATTACATTGTTACTGTTTGTAATTGATATACTGGATACATTGTAAATTGTTGCCAATATTGATTCTAATCATTTGAAGCTACATTTTCACTTCTTGCTTCTGTTGATCAAAATCAAACACAAATCTTAACCCATTTCAACTCGGCTATTGTACAAAATAATACAATTGTTGCAACCTGAAAGGATTTACACTTATTTTTGTTGTTTCACTTGTACAATTGTTCATTATTCTTGATCAAACCAACAAATGTTGACAAAGAAGAAAAATATTTATTCACTAATCAATTGTAAGAATATAAATTACAATAAGAATTGAAACTGAACACATTTCAAGAATAAAAAAAGCTGAAAATTCTGATCAAATATCAGGCAAACAAAGGCTTATCCAACGATAATAATGATGTTTCAATTTGAAAATATTACAAAATTCAATACAAAAATGACTCCAAATTGAAACAAAAAGACGATTGAAAGCTTACTTCAAATGAATAACTCAACAATGTTAAGATATTAAAAGACTTGAATTTTGTTCAATTTTCAATGTTAACCATTAAATTTGAAAGACAAAATAATAACAGTAATTATGATGAAAAGTGTCAATCAATGGTTGTCTAAATGTAATTCAATTTTGATTGAATCATTGGGAATTGAAAAACATGGATAATCTTCAGTTTACAGTTGATTATCAAGTGTATCATGAACAAGGGAAACACTAGATTAACCAAAGTGTAAATATTTAAATATAAAGGTATGAAGATGAGGAAAACTGTCAACAACTGAAACACGAGTAAAGATGTAACCTCTCCATAGATACAGTTGCTCATCTATTATAACCTGTCAAACTGCTGTTCAAGTTGAATGTTGATGAAGATAATCTTGGTTTGTTGTTCAATGTTTTTCAGTGCTTTACATGATGATGATGAAAAGAGAAGAGGTGAAGATTAAAGATGTAACTGTTGGTGAGTTGGGTGAACAAAAAAAGGTATTCATTATAATTTATAAATCCTTTAAAAGCTGTAAATCTTTTTTTTGCTCTTGTGTTTGTTTCATCTTGTTTATGAGCAATCTCATTCCCTGTCTTTCTTCCCTATCCTTCCCAGTCTCAATATCATCTTTTCATCATCATCTTGATCGATTGAGAGAAGAAGAGAAAGAGAGAGTCAAAATAGGAGACTGAAGATGATAATTTCAATTCAACTCTTTCTTTTCATTCCCTATCAACCTTTTAACACTTCAAGGTATATCCATAGTCAACAAGCAAATCCTTTATTGTTGCTGTGTGTTGCTGGCATCTTTAAGTGTTACAATTAACATTTTCCTCAACTAAATTACATTTCTTCAATAATTAAACTGTTAATTTGAAAGGGAAAAGTTGACCAATTGTTGACTGAAAATCCACAGAAAGTTTAATAGTAACTTCAATTTCATTTGTAAATTGAACATTAATTGTTGAGTTAAGACTAGTTTCAATTGTGTTCATCAACAATGTCTAAAGCTGATCATAAACCGTTTTTTCGCGACAAATCACCCAAACCTTTACCATCTATTGGGTTAAACACCAATCAACCAATTAACAATGTTAATGGACACTCTGGTCCACTGAAATCACCAAGAATCTCATTGCCCATTCCAGGATTTGCAACAAGTTTCACTAACTCACATCGACATGATCCTTTAGCTTTGACTGATTTAGATTGGGTTCCTTCCAATATATCTAAATCAACTCCTTTAGTTGCAAGTGATTTAACAGTTAATTCAACTGTTAACATTCCCAAAGCCTATTGTTCACTATTTAATCATATGTCCAAACGGTTCTCTAAACGTGCCCAATCAGATCCTTGGATTGCTGAAAAGCTCAACAAGTACTCATTCAATCGTCGTTACACTCTTGGAACTGACATTTACTTTCTTGCCGAGGTAATCATAATCAATATTTAACATCAACATCAAAAGCTAAACCATAAACTTGAATTGTTAATTACACTTCTAAGAAGTGCAACAACAACCAATTGTTATTAGGTTATCAATAATTGACTAAATTTTGAGAAAAATCTAATAAGTAAAATCGATAAAATCAGGGAAAAACTGGAAAAAACAAAGAACCAGGTTTAAGTCTTACATCTTTCAATCCTCTTTAACTTTGTCAAGTTATTGTTTTAAAATTACCTAACAATTTATTCTCATTGATATAATTGAATAACATGATTTTTACCATCTCAATCCCAAGTGATTATCTAATGATATTATCAATTCAATTGAACATTGAACATTCAGGTTTTGTTGAAAACAAAAGCCAAATAAATTCATCTTTAACATTACATTTCAAACTGAAATCCAACACAAAATATAACTCTATCTACATCATTATCATGATACAAGTGTAGATACATAATAATAATGATATTATTTAATTTAATGAACAATTCATAACTGTTATACTTTCAGTCTAATTATTATTGATTGATATTTTTGATCAATCAATTCTGTTATTCCTACCAATCCTGTGAAAAGCGTAAAACTTGTAAATAATAAATTGCAATGAAAGAAGCAAAAAATCACAAAAAGGAAACCCATTTTAATCAACTTTATTAATGACTTTCCTTCAATCTTTTTCAACCTTCTAATTGTTGTTTCATTTCTTACAGGATACTCGGACTCATGTTGTTGGTGAACTTTACGATACCGAGAAATCATATGTTGAATCGCTTCAAATCCTTGTCAATGTAAGTTGCTTGTTGCTCTCAATTTTTACCTTTAAACAATTCAAAGTTTCTTGTTCAAGTTGACAGTCTTACCTGTCCATGTGTGACAGTTAATTTTAATTATTCACGATTCATGCCCAATGAAGGGTTGTAAATGATGATTGATTTACTTGTTAGACTTTACCTTTTCTTGTTTATTTAATCATTTGCATTATTCATTGATATATCAACTTGCAACCTTACCAAGTGTGAAAATCTTGAGACTTTCATTTGACGAGTAAAAAGGAATTCTTTACCATGAATTTTTCATTTCATCACTAAAACTTCTTTGTCATGGAAAGGTTTTTTTTCTCCTTCACTCAGTATAGAGAGTCTAAAAAGTTGACAAAAGTAATACTTGAAACAGCAAATAATACAAGTCAACATCTTTGAAAAGGTGTTGTTGGTCCAAGATTTGGCAAGTTAAAAGGTAAATTCAATTTAAAGGTTAGTTCAACTAGAAAAGGAAAATTCAGAGAAAAGTTGATTAATCATGAGTAAATTGAACAAGGGATAAGAAATGTGTATGAAGTGAAATTGAATTTTTGACCAACATGAAAAGATTGATCATTTCTTGGCCAAATTTGATATAAATTTAGGTTCATTGCAAGTTGCTTCAACTTTTAGATGAAAATTCAACATTCATTTTGATTCATAAAACTAGATCCAAATGCTGCAAATTAGTTGATCAAGTGAACATCGAAAAGAAGAAAAATTCTGTAAAAGAAAATTAAATTCTGGGAAAACTTCACCACTTAACTTCACCTCTTCATGATAATTACGATAATTGGTTAAATTTCATAACTCAATATGAACCCAACTTTTGAGTGAATCTTCAAGTTGAACCTTTTTAATTTTACAAACCAAATCAGATTACATTTGAACCCAATTAAATACTTGACATAAAACTAGATTCACATTGTTTCATGTCATTTGGATTCATCTTGATTTACAATTAAAAAGTAATGTCATGAAGAGTTGAAGTAAGATAAAAAAATTGGTGAATTCATCTTTTTAATAGACTAATAAAGTAGACCAAAAAATAACGAGTTTTTTTTCTACTTTTTGCTCATTCCTTTTGGTAACTTGTTACCTGACATCTTTACCTTTTTTATGTGTTAACCTAAAAGTGTATGATTATCATTAAATATTGAACAATTTAAGGATTCTCATTGAAAGAGGAACATCAAATTTTAATATTATCAAGGCAACAAGCCTAATATCATTTGAATATTAACTTAATCATCATTATTCAGATGAAGAACGAGTAAACAAGAACATTGTCTCTATCTTCATGTCTAATTGTGATTAAAGTTCAATAAAACCATACAATTACAGTAACCTTCTGGTTATGATTAACATTGATTAACCAGAAAAAAACTGGTAAAATGTGAACCAATGTAAGTTGGAAATATGTTGATTTAAACATCAAAAACTATCATTTCTGGTTTATTGACTTTTCAATTTATCTTTTTGTTTTGTTTCTTGACAAAATAATAAATTTTTGCCTTGTTAAAGGTAAAACCCATTTTCATGGTTCCAGAAGAAAAGGTTTGATTAAAATTTTTCATTCCATGAGCTGTTCAAGATTAACTCCAAGCATCTTCATCTTGCAAATGTTTATAATTTAACCCTTCTCTGGTCTACTCTTTAATCATCAAAGTGCAGTTGATACATTAAAGTAATGGGTTAAGTTAAAGTATTTTATCTCAGTTACAGCTTGAATACCTTTTGTATCCAGTTTACCTTCCCTAGTTTCTGGTATACAAACATTTATATTATCTCAATTTTATAAGCATTCAACTGGGTAAACTCATATTTTATCAGTCTAATTGTCCATCTCAACTGTTCAGCTTCTGTTGATCCTTCTTCATCTGGAAAATTAAATTGCAACTTTCAAAGTTTATGCAAAAATTGCTTTGTATTCCCATTTGAAACCCAATAAAGATCATTCAGCCATTTACACTCTTCACTTTCAGTTGCAATCATTTTGTTTCAAGTAAAGGTCGAAATTGGCTCAAATATTGCTTTTTCATTTTCAAAATTCAAATTTGTCCACAAGTAATTCACGAATAAATGAACTGAAAAGTAAATTTCCAAACCAAAATTGAAAATATTTGTAAGCTTAAAAGTCACAGATTAGGTCATTCCATGTTTATTCTGGACACTGAACTGGTTCTTAATAATCTTGAAATGCTCGGATGAAAAGTTCTTTGAATAATTTCTTTCGACTCTCAACCAATTTTATTTTTGCTTCAATTTCTCGTTTCAAGTTCATGGAAATGTTGCAATTCAATTTAACAAGTTGAATCTCTAATAAACTGTCCAATTATAGCATCTTATAGCGACTTAAGATACAAAATTGTTATTCTGTGAATGTTCACCATTTTTATGGTGATTTCAAGAGTCAATCAGTCAAAGTCGCTCTGATCATTTCAACGTCTTGCCATAAAAGGTTGTTTCAAAAGGGTTACTATTCAGGGAAAACTGACTTTTATTACTTACCATTAGGAGATATAAAAAAATGTTTCAGTAAATTTTGTTTCACTTTTCTTGCTGTTTATCAAGTCAACTTATTTTGCCTGTTACACATTTGCTAATTGTGATTTATTTTCATTCTTATTTTAACAGAAATATATGAAACCATTAAAGTCAGCTGAATGCTCCAATTTAGTTGATAGTACTCAGGTTGATCACATATTTTATCAAATTCCTGAAATATTGAAGCACCATGAAGCTTTCCTGGAATCATTGAAACAACGTTTAACCAGTTGGGACTCAAAACAAAAGGTTGGCGATGTTTTTGTTGAAGCTGTAAGTAATCAATCACAATTAACGATTTTTTCCATTCTTCACAATTCTAAACAATTTATCAACTTGGTGTTTCCTTTATTTAATAAATTGTTTAATTGTTGCTTCGAAAGGCAGCAAATATTGAATAGCCAAGAGATACAACAAAATATGAAACATGAGAGTTTAACCAGAAAATTTTGAAAACATTTCAATTGCTCTTGAATGTCTCTTTCATTTTCATATATTTTTTCAATTCTTTTTGTTCATTTCACCCTCTGAACCTCTTATAGTTTACCAAACAGCCCATTATTGATACTTATACAGCATTCATCAACAATTGGAAAATAGCCAAAGATACAATTAAAACTGCAATCCAAGCCAAACAAGCATTTGCTCGCTATTTAGAGGTAAGTTTACAGTTAATCTAATTTTATTACATTTAAATTGGAAACAATTTTCCAGCTAAATTAAGCCAATTTGAATGTGAAAAGATTTGACGAAGAACTGTTTTGTTCCGGAACAACAAAACCTGCCATTAATGAAAGTCGCCTAATTAAGTTTAAATCAATCACTTTGAAAGCTTTGGCTAATAACAAAATCAATTGTTATAACTTTCAGTCAATTGCTCTTAATGAAGTTTATTTATTTAAAAGATGTTTATTTACAAAATTACATTTCAACCTAAAATTGTTACCATTCATGATTTGCTTTTATTGCCTACAATCCTTTCAACTGTTAATTACAAGCAGTTAGTGAATATTAAAAAAGGATAATTTAAGAAATTGGTTCAAGCCATTTAGATGTTAAGATGAGTATTGAGTTAACCAGGAAAATATTGATGAACCAAATTTGGGTTTGAAAAATGGGTTTGGGTTTGAAGGGAAAAGTCAAATTGACAAATGAATAAATGTTTCCAATTCTGAGTCAATTATTCCAATAACTGTTTCTTTCATCCAGAATATGTCTCGTGAACACAAAGGTAAACTCACCTTGGATGCCATTTTAATTATGCCTGTTCAACGTATTCCTCGATATGAGCTTCTAATCAAGGTAAGTTTCAATTGACAGTGAAGTGATCAAAATTAGTGATCTTAAGGTTTAATTAAATTGACAAATATACTTATTTAACTTATTCATCAATCAACTATTCACTAATCAAGTCTCTTCTAATTATCAATTCAACTGACTCCCAACCATCTTTAAATTCCCAGCAGTTAAACTGCTTTTTGTTAATTTTGTTTCACTATTTGTCAATGTAAATTTAATTTTGTTTGCTATTTGCCAGTGAAACTGGTTAAAGTTGACCCTTTTCAATCATTTTTCATGGCTTTCATTCAGCTTTTGACTGATGTTTTTTTCTCTTTTTTGTTCATTGCTAATTAGGAATTGATTAAACACACTAATGTTGATCATCCTGATCATCAACTTCTTCTGAGGGCTCAGAAAGAAGTTCATGAACTTGCTCTTAAAATTAATCGAATGGAACGAGAAGCATTTGAACAAGAACAAATGGCTCAAAAAATTAAGGATATTGAACATTTCATCGAAGGTGGTGTTGATGTATGTAACAATTTACCAACAATAACGAATCTTCAAGTTGATAAAAATTGCAAATCCTTTAATTTATTCGTAAAATTCAATGTTAGCCTTTCAATTAATTAACTCTTGCTCAATATAAGTAAATATTTGCCTTTTCATTAGCGATTCTAATCAATTAGGTTCATCACTTCTGTTGACTTTGGGTTAAGACGAAATTTCAACATGAAATTTTGTGCAATTCACTGAATTTTAATGCTAATCAAATCGTAAAAAACATCCATAAAAGAGCATAAATCAAGCTAGAAATGTGTCTTTCAAAGTAATCGCGATCAACATTTTTCACAGCAAGAATTACTTCTTTACTATTGATCATTACTTTCAGAAAATGTTTCAAATTTGATCTCAAAAAGATTGATATTGAGGGACAATTTCATAGATTGTTTGATATAATAGCCTTTTGAGGGCAAAAATGATGGTAAACTATCAAAATTGAGTTTTAACAGTGAGAGTAAAATGTTGTGAATAAATGTCCAGAAGTGACAAAAGATGCAATTTTGATGAACTTGAATGATTCAAGATTTGTAGATAATTTGATTGTTTAATTGAATCTTTTTGTCTAAAGTTATCTTCACCTGATCGAACCTTTATTCGGTACGATTTTGTAACCATACCTGGAGCCCTTGGAACCAAAAAGGAAAGATGTCTCTTCCTCTTCTCTGATCTTCTTGTAATAACCAGCATCAAGAAAAAAAGCAGTGCCACTCGTAAATTTTCAACCTCATCCAGTGGTACCTCACCCTTGTCCACTTTGGAGGGAAACAAGTATAAATATTTAACTCGATTCCCTTTAGAGTCTGTTGATACTGCTAAAGGTGGTGATGGAAATTTACGGAAAACAATCAAAGAGATCGACAGTTTGAGAGAAGATGCTGGAATCTTGAATCAAATCAACGAACTTATGAATAACCTAAACTCTGGACATCAGGTAAAGTCATTGGACAAACTCACCAATGTATAACACTTATAAATTATGTTTTCCTCGTATTGAACCTTTTTCAGGTTTCAATTTAGGATGAAAAAAGTGTCTCACTTAAAGCTATTTCATCTTTTCCCAAATAGTAATTAGATTTAACGGAGAATATATAAAATCAAATCAACAGAAGCAACAATTTTCTCAAGATATAAGTTACCTGATTGTTTAAATGGCCCTTTTTGACTCTTAAAGTCTCATGAAAATACTTGAGTAAAGGCTTTAGTAAACATTAAATTAAAGCTTAACAATATCAATCCATCATGAATTGTTGCTCAACCAACTAGCTTTATTATAGCAATTTAATGAACTGTAATCAGCATTACCTGATGAAATTTTGTATCATTTTACGTTAACATTGTCATTATGCAACTGAATCCTTTGTAATCATTTCTTGAATTTAATCCTTTTTTTACAGGCTATGGAGGAAGCTGTGAGAGCATTACATAGCGAAGTGAACAGACAATTGGTCGAAAAACAAACAAACGATTCTCAGCTATTATCTATTGAACTTCAAGTGACCAGTCCGTAAGTTGTAAATTTTATCATTCCTTCCATACTAACCAATAACAATCCAAACCAGTAAACCTACAAAATTAAGTCTAACTCAAACAAAATGAATGTCCAGAAAGCAAATGGCCAAAAATCATGTTCACTTAACAGTCAACAATGAGTTTCAACATTGATTTATGTAAAGATATGTATTAATACATGGACCATTATTGAACCAGAAAAGCAAAAACAAAGCAAACCTTTCAAGTTTCGCAGGTTCAGCCTTTGTTTCCTTACATTATTGTTATCGATTAAAAGCTACCTTAAATTAAGTTGAAATCTGTTTGCTATTCACATCTTTTAGCTAACATTTTATCGTGTCTTTACATTAACCCAAAAACTGGTACTTTTAGGTTAAAGTTGAAAGGTTGAATTGTTGGTTTTAATGAAATCTCCATTTGTCTCTTCTCTTTGCAGTGAAGTTGTTGAAAACCTTGTAATCATATTTCCTAGCACCGAGAAACGGGCTGCATGGGAAGAATCCTTTGAAGCAGCCAAGACCAAGTTTGCAATAACAAATAATCAAAAGCCTCCACCAGAATTTTTGTGTAGCATTCCAATCCGGAAAACCCGAGCTGGACTACAATTTACTTGTGCATCTCCAACCTTGTATCGTAATCAATACAATTTAAAAGACGTTTGGATCTGTAACTCTGATGGTTTTGTTGGTCAAGTTTGTGTACTTACCTTGCATCCAACTCCAACGGTTGCCTCTTGTAATGGAGTCTGTAATGGACAAATACTTTGTCTTGCTTCAATTCCAGCAGCAACAATAAACAATAAGTAAGTCAATTTATTGTAAATATTTTAAATAATTACCAGAGATTGGTCAAAAGAAGTGAGTATTTCAATGATGATCAATTGTAACAACATTTAATGATAATCTTTTGAACTACAATTTAACTCGACAAGTTAAACCAAACCATACAAAATCAGATTGTAACAGCTTTACTTTGATTTTAAATTGTAAGGCCTAATTTGATTATAGCTGGAGTTAAATCAAAATTGGGTTCAAAAGTCATATTTACTTATCTAGAAACTGGGATTTTTGTTTTCAATATTGATTCAAATTAGGATTTTGAATGAGATTTAAATTGATTTATTGATTGATTTACATTTATTTTCATTTTGTCAAAAGCTATTCAAGATGTTTACCATTGTTTTGAAGCAAGTCAATAATATTGATCAATTTATTTACAATTTACATTCATTTTGAGCAGATTTTTTTCCATTCACTATTCTGTGGAAATGAAAATTCCAAGATAATTATCATGTTCAAGTAAACAACTCAACATTGATTTTTTAATTTTCACATAAAATGAAGTGAAAAAGTTGCAACTTAATCCTCTTTTCGAGTCTTTAATGATTAACAATAATCAATCAAAAGATTCAAGTTTAGTCAGAAAAGGCTGAAAGAAGATGAAAAAAATCGTTTCAAGAGTAAAGTTCCATTTTATTGAGCAAAGATTCAATAGAAGAGTCAAATTGAGTGAACATTTTTGAATCAACATTCAGTGAATACAAATTGTTGTAATTAGATAATTATCAAGCTAATAGTCGCAAATTTATTAACCATTTACTTGATCAAATAGAAACTCTTTGTTGGATTGAATTTCAAGTTGAAATGGATTGAAATTGTAAATTGTTTGGTTCACATGCAAACTAACGATTGAAACAATTGTTGACAAAATGGTGAACCTATCGATTGAATTATTGATTGTTTAAGATCCAAAATTGATCATATTTTCAATCTCATTCCATCATCATCATGGTAAACCTATCTTGTGCTGAATTTGACAATTTAATACTTTTTTTGATCCTGAAACAATTTCATTTGCAAGATGAACCAAGTTATTGGAAGACACAAAATTATCATCACAACCACCCACTTCAACTCCTCCCAAACCCTCAACTTGATCATAATCATGTTGATCAGGCCTTAAAGATGTTCCTTTTTTGATTCCACATTTTGGCGATTCTTCTTTACTTTTCTCAGAATTGCCAGAATTAACTTTGCTTGTCTTTTACTGGCACAATTCAGTGAAGCTTCACTTAACCATTAACAAAAATTGCTTCATCATTCAATTTTATCCTCGAATGAATTTCAACTTGAATTCACCGAGTTCTCTGAGTTCAATTGATTTTCAGGTTTTCTCAACCATATTTTACTCCATTGCTCCCTTATTGGGTAAAGTTAACAGTTATTTAAAACAACAGTAAATGTTTATTATTCAACCATTTTTATCAAAACTGTATTCCCAAACAATTAGGCTTTGGGTTGACTTTTTGTTCCTTCATTTTAATTCACACTTTTCATATTTAATCAATTGTTAGATGTATATTTTTACATTGACAATTGTATAATAGTCATGGAGTAAATGGTAACCTTTTTTGCTTACTTTATCATTATTTCATCTGAAGAGTAAAAGTTGAAGCAATTTCTTTGTGCTTTGAAAATTTTCAGCCTAAACATACAATAATTATGTTTACTATTTAAATTAGTTAACATTTTCAAGTTTAATTTCAACCAAATGAATTGAATTTTTTCTTCTCCTTTTGTTTAAAATTAATTTCTTTCAACTCTTTCTGGTTGATTAAAAGTAAAAGAAATAATTCAATTGAACAATAATTTACATTTTTAAATATTCAACCCAAAATTGGGTTCATTTTGCTTTAATCATTGTTGCTCTCTTCGTGATCAACACACATTAGCAATTACTATTAGATTGCTGATTAAAACTAGAAACTATTTCAATCAATTATCAAGTTAAATTGAACCTTATTAATATCTGGAATTGCCATGCAAAGGTATGATTTAGGAAGGAAAAAAAATTTTGGCAAAAATTTTGCTACTAAGAATGAAAAGAAGTTAGATTCTACTTCAATTGACACAATTCAATTATCTAATTGGAAAGGAAATGAATGAATGAGACTTTGATTGTAAAAGTTGATAGAAAATCAGGGAAAAAAGGTGAACATCTATGGAAGCTGTTAATGATGAGGACAAGGTTTAGATCTTTGTTTGGTCAATCTGAGGACAAAATTGAGGCTACTTTAAATGACCAGCATCACGATGATTGGAAAAAAGGATGTAATCAAAATAATCAGTTAACACAATGGTTACAATTTATACACGTAATAATGTATTTAACTAATCCCTGAACCTGACTGCTGATTTTGTTCAATTTGTTTTCATTAAATTAATAGTTGCTTTTTGGAATAGCAAATGATTTACTATCAAATCAATAATCAATTTACATTGAGTTGTGTGCATTGAATTGATTGAGTCGTTGACAATTGCAAAAATTGTCAACGCATATTAAGCACTTGCTTATTCCGACTTTTTTCAATTGGTCTCTTTGATTCTTTCAAGGCAATGGCTGGAATGTAAATCGATAAATGCTTGTTGAAACTGTGTCCAAGTCTATCCTTTATGAACTTTGATTATCATTGAAATTGAAGCTAAATTCTGATCCTTCTTTTGGATCAAAAATCCTCCAAAAAATATCCTACTTTTTGTATGCTTTGCTGAATGGATTAATGATTTCGATTTCTTTTCCTTCTTGTATTATAATATTTACAGTTGCTATCCAGTTTCTCTTCGTCGATCATATGTTTCAGAAGAACCATTATTCAGTGAAACCAGTGGTCTAGAAGGCACAGAAACCGAAGCGAACACCAATTGCTCCATATTGACATCAACCTGTTCAACACCATCTTTGTCCAATTTATCCTCGGCTTCCATCCAAAGCTCACCTCCAGCCTCATCAAATTCATTTCTAGTCATATCTGCTCGGCCCGAATCAATGGGAGCCTCAACATCACCTTCACGTTCATTAACACCAACCCCGTCAACCAAAAGTAAACAGTCAACAAGTGTTCATAATTCACCTAATCCTCATACCCATCATCACCACCACCACCATCATCACCATCATCTTCACCAACAACCAACTGGTCACTCTTCTTCAAGTCAATTTCAACTGGATTCCGAGTCTTCAGATGAGGAAAGTGAATCATCGCTAATAGAGGAAACTGATCTCATGCGTCTCACCTCTGAAACATCACATTCACCCGTGGATTCGTGTCATTCAATTGATTCCGAAGCAAATCAGCCCACAATGTGGTTTGGAACTAGAGACGGAAAGTAAGATAGGGTCAAGAAAAAAGAAAAAAATTAAAAGCAAAAAATACAAATTTAAGGATTAAATAAGCATCAGATTATATCGTACCTTATAAATTTGATAAATTCATTATCAACTGATTTATCCCCATCAAGATAATTTCATTTTTCATGAAGCTTTTCATCAGTGGAGCTTTGAGTGTGTTCTTGGTAAAGCCAAATTTGTCATCAATATCAATGCTAATCACCACTTTTGTATTACACCTGAATCCGTTAGTGAACCCAAAAAAAAAGTAATCAGTTAGTATTTTGATAACAGAAATTCAAGAGATTTAAATCAAAAGATCAAGAAATAAAAAGATGAAACCGGTCAAGAGCACGATGATATTGATGATGAGCGTGCTTTTATGTGTTTTTAATGTGTGTGTTCAGTCAAGTATAGTGTTTGTGTGTGTGTGTGTGCACAAGATACATGCTTACCACCCACATCGTGTTAACTTTATCCTCTTTATGATCATCTTCAATCATCATTATACTCATCTTTATCCCTTCATTTTCTCATTTTTTTCCCTTATATTTGATTGTTAATTGATTAGTCAGGTTAGAGCAGCTATTAGTTTTAAATTAATCTGCAATAACAACTTTAAGGCGTAACTTGGTTAGCAAAAATCGATCAAAATTAAAGTGTTATTTAAAAGAGATCGATGGCTTAATGAACATTCAATTGGTTGTCTCCGTCAAATTAAGTTTGTTTTAGATGATCGATTAAAGCTTTAACAAAGCTGAACATCAGTTTCAATTCATTTTATAGCTTCTGATAACAGTTAATATGTATTACAATAAAGACGTGATCCTTGAATGAATAAAATGAATCAATATCATGAAACATGTAAACGTCTGACCAGATATAAAAAATGACGGATTTTTTTTTACATAAGCTCTAGTCAACAAGCAATGGATATGAAATACTTGATTAAAGTTTAAACATGTTTTTAAGCTGATTATTGATTAAGGGATAAACTGAATATTTAACCAGCTATTTGTGAAAAATGGGAAAAAAGATGATGGACTTAAATTATCACTTACTTATGATTGGTAATGATCAAGTGGCGCAGGTTTGTTAATGTAACAATTACATGTGTGTGACTCTTAAATCAATTGGCCTTACCAATTTAAGTCCCCAATTTATTGAGCTGAATAATGTTAATAAAATTGATTATTGATTAGGTTTAGGCTTAGCAATATGTAAGAGTAAAAGAAAGGTTAATGTCAAGATGATCTGACAAGTAAGGGTTAAAAGCTAATGTTATTGTAATTTGTATGGTTAATGGGACGTTCGTATGAAAAAAAATTATGCTCATTACCTTATTGCTTATTTTGTCCTTCAGTTAATCAAAACTTATTACAACTGATTCAGGATAATCAAATATGACTTTGATTTGACTTTTCTTTCTTTCTTTCCTTTCCAGTATTTACATTTATAACTGCAACGATAATATAAGGATAAGAAAAAATAAGCTGAAAATTCAATTACAAGCTGCTGTTCATTGCATTATGTGAGTATAATACAGACTATTAACTAATAATCTTATGAACCTTTTTTTTCACTGAATTAATTACATCCATCGGCTTTTTCATGTAGATTTATCATTCATAGACTTTTTGTGTGATGATGTTTTTAGCTTGATGATGAGTTTGATGAATAAATCAACTGAATTAACAATAATAGCCAGGGAATTCTTAGTTGGTCACTAATGGTGATTAGCGTTCTCACATTTGCCTTTATATTTCACCTTCTTTGAGCTTTATGATGATTGGAAATCAGTAGATGACTTGCATGTGATTAACTGGAGCTAAGAATTAGGTTAAACTGGTAGCAATCCGATTGAGAAATAGGGAACCAACGGAAGATGGTAAAATTGTTGCATGTTTCATCTTGATTGTTGAGACAATTTTCACCAAAACCTAATGGATTTATCTGGTTAGCCTCATTTTAATAAGCAATGATACAGATTTAAATGAGATGAGATAGTTGAATATATAAAATCATGTTAACCACCATGTTTGTTTTAGTAATTGTATGGACCACCTTGGTGACTTTCTTTGTATCTTCTTCATTGACTCATATCCATCAGCAGCATCATTATTATTAAATTTAATATCCCTTTTATCAATTCATTGGTTATGGGTCAAGCTGATAGTTTACACAACAATAGAATAATCAATAAATCTTTTCCATTAGCATTTATATTTGTTCAAACTACCAGCATCATCATTCACGGTAACCATCCTTAAGCGTACAATTCATAGACAATCACAATTCTTTCCATATAATTTGAATCTCAAGATGAAAGTCTCATTTGTAGGGCCAACTCTGTTTCAAAACCTACTGATATTAATATTTACAGAAAGAAGGAAAAGGAATTGAAAACAGAGATTAATAAAGGTTAAGAATGCGATCAAATGAAAATGAATGACTAAAGTCAATATTAATATCATACAATAACTTACACTTGTCTTCCTTCACTTTTAGTCCTTGTGATTCCGTTTCATTACTAACGCTAATTTCATATCTCCTGATCATTTCATCATATCCATTATTTATTCATTTATTTTTCTTCTCCATTCTCTTGATTCTAGATACATGGAAAAAAACGTTTATTCAGGTTTATCTAACGGCCAGATTGTTGTCTTCCAACCAGACTCAAATGGTACTTGGTCAACAGCGGATTATAAGCTATTTACCATAGACAGCGGTCCCATTTATAAGCTTTTACAGGTTGCTGGTAAACTTTGGTGCTCGGCTGCTAATCAAATCAAAGTCATCGCGACTTCGACCATGGAAGTCGAGGTAGGTTTCTGAAAAAAGGATAAATATAACAAATTAATAACGGAACTCAGCCTTTTGACATCAATACTAATTGGATTCATGAGTTAAAAAAAGAGGAAATCCAATTTGCTGACCAAGTTTTGGCAAACTTGACCATTTAAATCTAGAATGTTAAAAAGGGTTTATTTATCAATATGAATTATAAAATATTAGTAATACTGAACGATACTGGACAAATGATGTAGCTTATTTAAGGATGAGAGAAAACGTTTAATCATAAGTTGAGATCATCAGGCACAGCTTCTAATTGAGTTATAATCTGTTACAAGAAAATTGAAATCGTAATCTATAGTGTCTAAGTTTTCGTTCAAAGGAAAAATGAATTTTTTTAGTAACCTTCGCCACCAGAGTTTTAATGGTTTAGTTTGGTTTCTTGATAATGTAATGGTGCAATAAATACCTTAAACTGAAAAGCTTGTGTTTGATCAATGACCAGTAAGAAAGTAAAACATCAATTTGTTTTTCTTAACTGTTCTCACTACTCATCATCTATGATCATCATGTTGATTAAATCTTGATTTTTTTTCTTCTCATTCTTACCTTTTTGGTTCAATCAACCACCTATGGCGTCTTCAAATTGACCATTCACAGAAATCATTCCAAGTCAACAGCGATCCGGAAAAGATTGTTCTGAACATGGTAAACTCTGGATTAGGAGTTTGGATTTCATCTCAAGGATCATCCATCATCAAACTGTACCATGGAACCAGTTATGAATGTCTTCTTGAAGTTGATGTTGCCCCGGCAGTCACGAAAATGTTAGCAAGTAGGTTAATGTAAACATTTATAAATTACATAAAACTACTGAATTAGAAAAGATAACATACAATGAAATATGATATTAACTGAAAAATAGTCACAGCAAGAAATTAGCTCGGACAAATTGAAAATGAAAGATAAAAGTTCACTTGTTTTAAGTGTTGCAAGTGTTAGTTAACAGATGGTAACAAAGTAGAGATAAGTAATGGAGGGAAAAAGCAGAGATAAAGCGTTTTTGATTATCCTTTGTTAAAAAGTAACTCATTACTCACAGACAAAAACAAAGGCAAAGAAAATGGCTTCTTCTTTGATCCATTAGTAAATTTGTTAATTAAAATTGAAACCAAATTTTTTCCATGTTACTTAAAAATCACAAGCTACAGTAGGGTTACCCTTAACTTGATAGAATTTCGTGTTGGCGCCACCTATTGGATCAAGCAATTTAAAGTCATTTAATTGTAATTTTTCAATTGTTTCAACCAAAATAATCAAAAATTTAGTGAAAAAAGTGAAATCTACGGGTCAGCATTATCTAAAAACATGATTTCCTCTGGAATTTATCAGCTCAATTTCCTAAAAACTTGAAAGTCTTCTTTCAATTTACTCTCAA